CGAAGGCTTTTCGGGCTGCCATTTTTTGGGCATGGTGTCCTGGGTGTCCAAAGCCCTGTAATTTTCCAGTGTTTTCGGGGCTTGCGTGCTAAAAACCTGTGTTTCGCCCAGGTCTCTAGGGGGGGGGGGTTCCCCGGACGCGCAGGATCTGCATCCCCAGCATCATCAGGATTACCTTGCTGCTATGAATTTGTCTCTTCTTTTTGCAGATGCTAATAGTGTTTTGTTTTGCTGTTTCAAGCGATGTTGGAATCGGCCTGTTAGGGCCCTGCATTATCGTGCTTTTGGAAGTCTATTTCTAGGGTATTTGAGGGGGGTTGCTAGTACCGGCTTTTGATGGTTGATTTTGGGAAATCTCAAAGAACCATGGTTTTGTAAACTTTTTTCTGGCCAGCCGGCTGCATTCCCAGCATTCCCGGCATCTCTTGTATTTTCTGTGTGTGTGGTCAATTTTTCGCCCTTGCATTTCCAGCATTTGTTATAGGGAAATGTCTGTAAACTGGCAAATTCAGACCTTCTATCACCTGGTGCCAACAAGCAAGACTTCCCAGAACAAAAATACAGGTTTTAAAATCCCTTGCACCCCACTGGCGTCGGCGGATCGCGTAGCGATTTCAATTCTCGCAGATGGTTCGGAAAAAAACCCATTGTCAATCCACTTCAAACATTCCACCTGCCGCAGAGCCCTTTTGTGCAATGTTGACCTTAAGAGCAACCCCTGTCTATTTTTCTGGGGGTGTTCCTCAGTGGTCTGAATCCCAACCAGGGACAAGCACCCCCAGAAAAATAAACAGGGGTTGCTCTTCCGGGGTCACTTCGAATCTTTGCGCTGGAGCAGAACTGCCGGGATCGAATCGATCTCCGCGGACATAGCGGTTAGATCGATATTTGATCTAAGGAGGTTCTTCTGCTTGGTTGTTTTTTTTTCATTCCCCCCCCCCCCGCATTTTTGTTTATGTTTGTTTAGACCTGGAGATGCAACAAGGGATGTGCACATTGTTTCTGGACTGCTTTGTTTCTGCAGGTGATAAGTGAAACCCGGCTTGGTTGTGCAGTGGCACCCGTGTGTCCTGTTGCAACCAAGGTTGGTGATTGGTTCATTTATTCTGGCTCTAGCCTTACAACGACCCAAATTAGACTAGTGGGGTGCTATACAAACATTTTCTCATGATCAATTGTGTAGCCCCTTTTATCACCCATGTCTCGGAGAAGGCCATCGTCAATCGTTGACTCTTGCGATTGGGTAGCTGGTCACACTTTCAGGTCGGCTTCTTGTTTGCTATTTGCAAGGGAAACCACAAGGCACCCCCACCACCCATTTGGGGCCGCCTTTAAAGATCCTCGGCTGTTTATCCACAAGGATCGCCTTGCTACGGGCCGCTGTCTCCAACACCATCCCTGGTGGCACCGTGGTGTATGCCACCTGCGCCCTATCCCGGGTGGAGACTCGGATGGCAACGGCGAATCGACCTGGTTCCTCTTAGTCTTTGTTTGGTTTCATGTTTACGCCCCAGCATTGAACCCAGTAAAAGCCCTTCAGAGGAATCTCCTTTTAGGAGCATGGTGAATGTTTGGAATTGTCCTGTTGTTTCAGGTTGAGGCAAGGGACTTTCTCAACCGGTGCCAGCCAAGTAGCCCATATGCTAGTACACATGTGTTTTCGGAGGTTTTGGGGTGCTGCGCAAGCTAAAAAGGCTAGATCGTTTGTTTGTTTTGCCCTATTTCGAACTCAGACATGCAATCCCATTGACAATGATGCCCCATGACAGGGGGGTTGCGACCTCGCCCATGACTAACATATTTTCCTCCCGGGACCCCCAGTTTCAATGTAGTGTGATTGTTTCCTTTGAAACGACCTCCCCCACATTTGCATACTAAATGAAGAGCCGACTTGCAAGGGAGCTATTGCAGCCTAGGGACTACATGACTGGGCCCATTTTGCTCATAGGCAAAGCACAAGGTACTTCATGCCGTCAATTTATGGGAAAGACTTTAGTGCATTCACATGGCCCTCATGCCTCAAAAGCTAGTTGTGTGTGCACCGTTTGCATACAGTTTTCTACGGCTCCCTCGCATGTCAGGTCATCAATGTTCTTCCTCCGGCCAGGCTTAGCTCACCGTTTTGCCAACTTTTGCCCATTTGAATCTGCCGGATCAATCGACCTTAAATGAACGGTTTCCCTTTTTGGGTTCCCGTTTTCATTGCCCCTAAGGGGCAACCAAGTTGGGCTTTCCTTCAAGCCAGCCAAAAGACAATTTTTATTGAAGGGGGTTTAAGCCTTAGGCCCGGCAAGCGGTGCAAATGGCCTGCTCAGTATGAGCTGGCTTGGGAATGAACCGGTTTTGGGGATTCCCGAGTAAAGGGAACCCCGGATTAATAACCCCTGGTTGACTAATAGGGGTGTCCCCTTTTAGTGGGGATTCATCACTTTGGAGGGAAGGAAGCAAAACCGGGGCTGGTGTTTCTTGGGCTGCACAACTCTTTCGCCAATCAAACCAGCAAGATGCCGAGGAGAACGACGCGGTGGTGGAGGCCGTGTTGGCCGAGGGTCGGTGCTCCGTGTCCGGCGACGCTGACGCTTCCGAGTTCGATGGCTTGGACGTTGAGAAGACGAGCCACGGGTGGCGCATGCTGCCGGATACGCAGGGCTGGGGGCCCTTGCGCCTTTGCCGAATGACCTTTTGACCCAGGGTTGTGGGATCACTCAGAATTTATGCCCACTGTGATACAAGGGAATCCCCTCTTTAAATCAGGGGCGAGGTCTTTGAAGTGGTCACCCGTCACAGCCCTGTTTTGATCTTTCCAGGGCTCTCCTCCCAAACTATGTCATACTGAGTCATACTCGGTTGGCTAAATCTGAAAGAGAATCTGAGCATATCATGTTTGGAGTGTCCTGGATGGCAAGTACTTTTTTCGACTCCCGAATGAACCTGGGTCACCGTTTGGTACCATCTTACATCTTTGCCCTCTACAGTGATGGTAGCAGACAACATTTGAATCCCAGGTTTAGAGTTAGAGTTGCTTGTTGACGAGAAAGTAGTATGACTTCCTAGAGGTTTAGGCCAGTTCTGGTCTACTTTGTGCAAGACTCCACCATCCTTTTGAGCAATATTACACATCACTTTGGGGTACAAGCATCGCAGCGTCACGGCATTTGCAGGGATTCCGCTTTTAAGTTACATGTCGAATTGGCATACTTTGCAGATTGGTTTGGTCGGTGTCGTTCTCAGTTTCGTCATACTTGAACAAACTATTCGACTTTGTGCGATACTCGGCCAAGCGGTGCAATTGCGTGAGCTCTACATTTTAGTCGCCTTCTATTTTTTGTGATTTGTTCACCTTAGTCAGTGCTTTAATCACCTTTTCAGTCACCACCCTTTTCACATGCAACCTGACGTTCGGGAAAAGGTCCTTTGAAACAAACATGGTCCAAACCAACCAGGATCCCACTCAAGGTTCCTTCCGTTGCAAGGGTGGGAGGCTACCCCCGTTCTTTTTGTTTTGATCACGGCCGCAAAAGATTGATCAAAAGCTCCATTAGATAGGATGGCCATTGGGGGAAGCCACGAAACGTATTATATTTCAACCACAAAATGGGAGAAGTTGCTGGTCATTTGGGGCCGCAGGGTATTTGATCTTCCCCCCAGGTACTGGTCTGTGCTGCGCAGCGGCAGATGAAAACGGCGCCTCGCCATCGCGCCACGCCATGGGCGACGCAGAGCCAACAGGTGGGGCGATGGCAATTCCAGTCATGTCTCAATGTGTTACTCGAGTTCCTGGATTTACTCCCTGGGTCCATGGACTTTAGTCACTTTTTGGAGTTGGACCATGGTAGTGGCAAACGGAAAGTTAGGACTTTTTGATGGCCCATCCACTCAAGAAGTGAGTGGACTTTAAACTGTTTGGGAGGACAATTAGTGGTAAATAGCAAGTTGTTGTTTGCCAACAAAAACAAACCTGAGAGGATCACACATAACACGTCTGGGCACACCAACAAAAACAAACTCACTTTCTGAGTGAATTGGCAAACCACTAAATAGAGGATTTGGGTTTGTTTTTGTTTGGAGTGGGGTGCCACGAGGAAAACCACATTTTTTTTTTGGGGGGGGTACACGTATTTTGATATTTGCAGTGGCACCCAGTTTGCTTTTTGTGCTGGGGTTGCCTTGAACATCAGGCAGGTCACAATCAAAAGGCAGGCCCTTTGATAGTGGTTTGGATTGCTTGTTTTGTTTTTGATTTGAACCCCTGGTTCTTGAGGGCAAGTGGGAAATCACCAATTAGAACACCTCCAAGCCAACCCAAACCACCAATTAGAGGGACGCTGAAAAACACCAAGGTCAGGGGTTGAGTTCTCAGGTGGTGCCTGGAAGGGGCCCGCTATGAACTTTGCGGAGAAGTGCGATCATCTCGTTCAACCTGGCCCACTGATGGACATGAGCACGGAATGTGCTGAGTCAATGGCAAAATGTCATGACCGAGATTCATCATCTAAACGATGCTTCAAATCTGGCTCTGCTGCAAACAAGGAATCCTTGGTGAAAGATAGCTCCTAGATGGGCTGCTAGCTCGACTCCGTGCTTGACAGAAAATGCTCGCAGCTGCCTTTGACGATGTGGGGCATGCGGCTGGTGTAGGTCTAGTACCCTCATGGGAACAGTGCGCAGACCGACCAACCATACAAGAGGATAGCCAGCCAGCCAGCCAGGCAACCCTTACTTGGCGATTGGGATTGGTGGTTTGGGGATTTGAACTTTGGTTCTTGTAGAGGTGGGACACCATCCCTGATTTTCAAAACACCGGGCTCCAAACCACCCTTTCATGGTTGTTGTTGGGAAACATTTCACATTTTGCTTCTTGTGGTTTAGTGGTTGAAATCCAACCACTTTGCGAACATATATATATATATATTCATATTTGCTCCCTTCCAACGCCAACCAAGCTTTCTGAGGGAAGCCGCTTGGGGAGCAAGCCGTTGCTGGCTTGCCGTTGATGTAAGGTCCTGGGCATCGGGGATCGGCACCTGGACAACCTGCAGATCACCCCGGAGGGCCACTTCTTCCACATCGACTTCGGCTTCATCTTTGGCGAGGCGAGCAGCGGGGGTGAGACACTTCTCTCCCGGTTTTTCCAGGCAGCTGTGGCCATTTTGAGGTTCAACTCGCCCAACGAGAAGCTCCCCGCCTTGTTTTGGGCATCCAGGAAATGCCATGCATTCAAGAGTTGAGGCTCCCGAGCCTATGGGTTACAAACCGAATTGATGGAAATATTATAGTTTTGGTTGAAATCATTGGTTTACGGAATGGCGAAATAAAGGGCCCCCCAACAGGTTTTAGTGTCGACCCCGGATTAGTACACCCAATTTTTGCAGGGCTTCCCCTCCAAAAGTGATAACCCCCCACTGAAAAGGAAACTCCGAGACCCCCCTATCAACCAAATCAACTAGAGGTTTATGAATGCGGGGCTCCCATTCGGGGTTCCTTTAATTTTTCAAAGAGGGGCAATGTAAACCCTTAACCTTGGGCTCAGTGCAGGTTACTAACACCGGGGCCATACCAAACAGGGCCCGGGATTTGCTGCAAGCCAGAAAGAATCCAACGAATTGGCATAGTAAATAGGGCCCTGACAAATCGAAGTGCCTTCACCCCTCAGGTGAGCCACAATCAAAACCGATTCGGGTAGATGAAGGTTAGTAAGGGGCGATCCCAACCATAAATAGCTGCGGCCGCCTTCTTAATTCTTTACACGGTTCTGGGTGCACCATGTTTGTACCGGGTTTTGATTTGACTCAGGTGCCGTTGGCAAAGCTGAACAAGTGCAGTTGATCATGTACCTACATTTTACGGCTACTCACTTGTATACTTGGACTCTCGCTTTTGGTTGAAGCAGGTTGGGTTTTCCATTGGACCCACAAAAAGTGGCTCACCTCTTGCAGAGGGGTCAACAGCAACCAAGTCCACCAATTTGCAACCCATCAGCAAGAATTAGTTGCGCTTGAAAGATGCCTAACAGGGTGCCCTTGCGCTTGGATTCGTTGATCACCACCCCCCCTTCGGAAGAAAACCTGGCTGGGTGTCACTCTTGCTGAGGACTTAGGCTAATTCGGCTGACGCATTTCAGGGACCCCGGCCCTGGAATGATTCGGTCTGCTCGTTAACAAATGGCCGGCTTTGTTGGACTGGGGGGGGGGGACGAACTCACCATAATGCTGGTGGTTTGGACGTGTATTTTTCTCGGTCGTCCCTTAATGAAGGTTGTTGTGATAGATGATTTGTCGATGGGGGTTGTCAAAATTAAGGGGCCCTTTTAGGTTCCCGTTTAAAAGGTGGCAGAGATCAGGCGCCAGGGTTTCAGTCGGGGTCAGGAACCCCCCTCAAGACTCCATGCTGGTTTTCCTTTGGGGTTCCGGTCAAAGACATACCTTGATCTTCCAGGACCCTAGAAAGCCTCTGAAGGGGCCCTGTGCAGGGCCCTTGGAAGACCAGGCAAAGGATGCAACATGATCCACTTGTTTGGCTCCCTTTGATTGTCCCCTTGGGAGGGGGGAAGGCAGCCCCGAAAAGGAAAACTTGGAAACCGACACATACCACCCAGTACAGTGCCCTTTTACCAACTTGTTTCGGGGAGGGTTCCCCTACTAAAATAGACTACAAACAAAAAACGGGTACCCTTATTCTACCCCCTTTGGATGACCTAGTCACATAGCCAGAGGGTCCAAGTACCTTATATTTGCGGATTTGAGGAATCTGTAGATGATAAATCCCCTTGAACCAAACCCAAGACCTCAAATATGGGTACTTGGACCCTCTGGGATAGCCACCCAGACATGATCCACACCCCGTGTTTTCCAGAGCATTGTTTGGATATGCTTGACACGGATGGCCGACTCGCGAGGACCCAAAGCCTTTCGCCCCACGGCTGCGCTTGCCACAGCAAGTGGCCACCGCCCCTCGGCAGCTTGAGGTACGTGGCCGCAAGGGGCGGGGCCCCCCCGAAATTTGGGTCTGAATGTTACCGAAGGAGCTTCATCATCCGAATTGGGTCAACCATTCTTTCGACTTGAGTTGAAGCTTTCGAGGGCTTAGGGGGATCTACGACATCATATTTTAACTTCTAGCAAGGCACCCCACGAACCAAGACGAGCTTACCAGGTAAGCAGCTCACCCATGCAGGTCCTGTGCTTTTCATGGGGGCTGGGGAGGAGAGAGGGAGGGAGAGAGGGGGAGAGCCCAAAAAGAACCTTATTAGACCGTTATTAAGCCCTTATTTAGGGCTTATTTGGGCTCCCTCCCCCTCCCCTCCCTCCCCGCCAGCCCCCAAAATGCTTACGGATTCCATTCAAATTATTTTCTCTTGTTTGTGAAACTTCACTCCCTACCAAGTTATCATGGTACCTGATGGGGACCTGGTCCCTTCAAGAGGAAATTTACCCTCCCACAAAACCTTCTGTCAGTGGGAGGAACGGCAATAGGGGACGCTTTGGTGGACGTCTAGGTTGGGATTCATGTCCACCGCCAACCAGCAAACCTACCAACCACTTGAGTTCGGTTTTACTATTTAAATTTTCAGCGCCTTGGGTCTCAAGATTGGACCAACATGGTTGGTCTCCTGCGTTCCCTTTGAAACACTAGGCAGGATAGGCCACCCTCAAAAACACAGGCACTCAAATTGGTCAATGTTAGTCCGGATTAATAAACCTCTGGTTGATTAATAGGGGGTGTCCCCTTTTAGTAGGGATTCATCACTTTTGGAGGGAACACCCCCCTAATAATGGGACGAGTTTATGAATCCGGGGTCAATTTCCCAGCGGCACCTTTTGGGCTTGGCACCAAACTCGTGGTTTCGGCTTCTCCGGCTTCGGCACACCCAGATTGGCTTCAGAAGGATACCCGTGGCTAGGTCCCCCAGGATCGTGCCCTTTTACCGTTTCTTTTTTGGGGAAGGGTTCCCCTACTAAAATAGACTACAAACAGAAAGGTACCCTTGTTCTTTGGTCCTCTCTACTGGAGGACCTCTTTCTCTTTCCAAAACCCCGCCAAAGATCTCATGAGACAGTTTGTTTTTCCTCTCTGGTTCTGCCAGTGCACACTTGGCGGTTCGGACCAGCCGTATCCGATGGAAGATTTGAAAGCGTCAGGAACACGACAGATCGCACTGGCAGTTGCTTGCCTCAGATCAAGAAACCAAGAGCCACGCCTCTTGCTAGGTGCTGCTGGCCGCCGTGGATGAGGATTCGGGAGGCCAGCTGATTCACTTTGCATTGGACTATGTGGCAAACCGCAAGTGCCTTTTACCAATCCATTCAGGAAGTGAACCTCATTCAGGAAGTGAACCTCATCCTTCCTGCGTGCTGTGAAGACAGTAGACAGCTGTTCAGGTCAATGGGCAGTCCATATGAATCCACAGGGTTGAAAAATCCACGGTCGACATTACCTAGTCTGCTTCAAGCTGATAGCTTCCGCAGGTGAAAGCCAGCCTTGCTGAAACTGACGCAGCCCAATTGAAGTGGCACCACAGTCTTTCTCATCAATTCTCATCATGGCTTTGTGTTTGGTTCCTCAAGGTTGGAGACTCCACTCACAATGTCGTTGCGCACCAAAGCCCAATTGGAATTGGGCAGGGGACAGGTGGACACCCACAACATGCGGGGATTCCTTTTGGCTCCCTTCAAACCAAGCCCAGAAATGGTACCCTGGGAAAAAGTCACAGTCCCAATTCAACACGTCAGGCACCCTTTTGGACAAGTGCTTCCTATTGGCCGGCCGGGCCTACATCGCCCTTCGGCGGTCTATGCCGCTGCAGCTTGGCTTGTGATGATTTGGGGTCCCCTTCCTGATAGTGACTTGCTAATTCCTGATTTGGAGGAAACCTGGGATGGACGTGTGCACAGATTGGTAGGGATGACATTGTTCGATCTTGCCCTTATTCCCATCCCACCCCGTTAAACACTGGCCGCGGACGAGGCTCGCCGAGTTGAAAGAGGAAACTGGGGGGCAGGGGGCCAGGGCTGTGGGAATGACCACTTCTGTGATACAACAGCAAGGGCTTCCAAAAGAATAACCCCCGATATAAAGGGGGAGATTCCCAGAAGTGGTTGGATAAACCCTGGGCGATCGCACAACCCGGGTGGGGGGTCGGCAAAAGGCGTTTGGCTCCGATGCCAGGCGCCTTGATCTGAGGTGGGTCTCTCTCCTTCACGTCACGGGGCACGCGGGTGGGGCTGGCTGTGGACGGCTGCGCGCCGACGCCAACGCGGCGGTGGTGGTGGTGACGGCACCTCGGGCGCCAAGCGAGGTGAGCCTTTGTCTGCGTGTGCGTGTGCGTGTGCGTGGGTGTGTGTGTGTGTGTGTCTCTGTGTGTCTCTGTGTGTCTCTGTGTGTCTCTGTGTGTCTCTGTGTGTCTCTGTGTGTCTCTGTGTGTCTCTGTGTGTGTGTGTGTGATTCTTGCAATACTCACTTGCCCAAAGTCAACCTTTTGACTTTTAGATTCCCAATGTTTGGTCCATTTTTAGTCATGGCCCCCAAAGGTATACCCTGTATTCCTAAGTCCTTTGGGCAAGTGAGAATAGGGGTCCTTATAACGCTGACCCCGGATGCATAAGCCCTCCCATGAGTAGGGGGTGGTTTTTGCAAAGGTGATGAACCCCCACTAAAAGGGGACGCCCCCTGTTTTAACTAGGGGTTTATTCATGTGGTGCCCATTCTTCACTGTTCTTGGCATGTTTTGTTTTAGTTGTTTGGTTCTGTTCATTTTTATTGGAGGTCTGCAAAAAAAAAACAACGTTTTTAGCTACCATACCAAGAGTAGAGATGCATTGTTTCTGTTTTTGGGTGACTCACTGAGCCTGACCGGGTGCGAACGGAATCTAAGGACCGCCTCCGCAGTGATTTGGGCAGCTACGAGGCCGAGCGCAGGGATTTGTTTTTTGGTCTCAGATTGGCAGGGGTCCCTATATTTCCCTTTTTGGCTGTTTTAAACATCACCTTTTTGGCCCATGAAGGGTGAGTATCCCTTGGTGGGGGTGATGTTTTAAGGGGAAATATAGGGAGCCCTGATTGGTGCCGTCGCCCTAGCTTCTGACCAGAAATTAGAACACGACAGAGGTGGGTATATCCTTGCTGGTTCTCAGCAGGGAATGAGATATGGAATGACCCCCTATAAACCATCCATCCGATTTGGATTCCTTTTAAGGGATCCCCCTGCAGGTTCATTCCCAATGCCCGTTTTTTTTTCTTAGGGTTTTTTTCCCCACTCACCTTACCCCTGTACCTGATTTCCTCGAGCAGGCAGGCAGAAGGCCCGGATGCCTGCAGGAGTTCTTGTGCACCAGATGCACGGTTTCAACGCTCGAGCCCTTCAACTTTTTTTGGGGGAGTAGCCTTCCAAATTGGTCGGGAGAATATTGCTTTGATGAAATGGGGCCAGCGAAAGTGAACATTTACTTTGACATAACACCCACAGCCAACTGAAGTGGCTACCTTTCTCCACATGTCCTTCATGGTGCTTCTTTTTGAAGATCCATAAAACGAGGCTCAATTTGAGGATCGCAGTTTCAAGGGCCTGGCAACCCAGGACTCACTGACTCTTGTGCACTTGGTCGAAAATTCAAAGTTCGTCTTCGACCCTCAAGGAGCCGACTCTTACTCAGCTCTGACTTTCTTCCCGTCCAGGGGCAACGCCATGCATGAGAAGTTCTGCCTATGCTTTCGCGACGGGTAAAGCGAGATGGGTTCTTTTCTTTGGTTGATTCCAGCGGACAAAAGCCACTTCGCACCAGGTAGGTGGTGTAATTATTCCAGTGTTACAATCCGACATTTTGTTCATCCTAAATGGTGATAGGCGGTCATGAGACTCTGCTTGTCTTTGGAGGGTTCCCAGCTTTAGATTTTGGAAGGCCCAGTGAGGTGAATAATTTTGGTTTCATCCATCCCAACCGGTGCGAAATGGATTTCATTCAGTGTGGAGCCGCTCCCTCCCTTCCCCTCCCGTATTCGGCGAAAGGAGGAGAAGGCGGCCGCAGAGTTCCTTCTTGTATCTTGGTCTGATCAGGTTGCGAAGGAATCGGACTTGAATCCCACGGCCCCCTTCTCCCCCTCCCAAAAAAGAGCCAAAGCAACTGACAGGTGTTCTGGTTGCGCCGGGGGTGCTTTCGGGCGGTTTGTTTGTTGTTGTTTTTTTTTTTTTTTTTTTTTTTTTTTTTTTTTTTTTTTTCGGATGGATCCAAAAGGAAGCCCACAGGCGAGACATATGTGTGCGTGTGACATCCAATTCCAATCCTTGAGACATGCCCAGATGCGTTTGTCCCTAAATGGGGGGGAACTCAATTTGGGGTGTTGTCGATGTGGCTTCCCTTACATGATCCAAAAAGGGATCCCTCAACAAAAAACACCAAAATGGCTACAAGGGCTACAGGCTCAAGGAACCCCTGAATGATCAGGTAGTAAGCCATGAATGCCCCGATTGATGTGGAGGATTCTGATCGAACTCATGCATTAGCAGTTTTAGATGGGTCCGAGTCACCAAGCAAGAAGCGCAGAGAGGGCCTCGAAGTTGCTCTTCCGGACGAGGGGTTCTGGAACCGAATTCAGGAGTGTGTTTCTACAGCAGTTACATCTTCCATGGCATCAATTCAGCAAAACATGGAGCAGATTTCCAATCGTACACGGACTACTGAACAGTGCCTAGGAATGGTGCAGGATCAGTTGGAAAAACAGTCTGAAGAGCTTGCCAACATGGATCAGAAGTGGGGCAATCGCCTTGATCACTTGCAGCAGCAGGTCATTGATTTGCAGAAGAAGAATGATGAGGGCACCTCTCCCAGAGCATGTGGTCCTCCTTCCCCACTCAGACAAGCGCAATCTCCCTCAGCTGCGAGCGAGCCTTCTATGCTGGTGGTTCTCGGCGGGTGGGCGGAAGGGGAGAGACGTGCTTGGGTTCAGGACCAGCTCAGCAGGCTTGTGGAGGCGGCAGGGGTGAAGGAAGCTGTTCATGAGATCGAGTTCTTTGGAAAGAGGCCTCGATGCGCCAAGATTCACCTCGTTTTTGCTGAAAGAAGCGGCATTTCGGCCAAGCGGGCAGTGCAGAAAAAGGTCATTGAGAAGCTCAGGGGCCAGCAGTGGATTCCCCGCGGTATGCAGAAAGCAGTGTGGGTGGTGCCAGACCGCTCGCCAGAACAACGGTGCGTGTCGAGAGCTATGGCCAAGATTGGGAGCTTCATGCAGGAAGTGTGCGGCAAGCCTCGTGACCTGCTTGAGGTCGACAACTGGGGAATTGCTCGGGCTTACTGTGGTGATTTTAAAATTACAGGAATGTCGTCGGGCCCAAGGCCCACTGCCCCTCCTCGTGATGATGAGATGGTGGTCTGGGTGGAGCGCGACGACAGCACCGGCACGTCCATATGGTTGGACATGCTTGCCTTGTGCAAGGGCCTCGGTGCTACCAATCCAGCGGAGATGCTGCAGAAGTGGCGTGGCTTCCAGAAGTGACAAATTCAGTGTGGTGCAGCAGGGACAGGTATCACCCAAGTTCCTGGTGATCAGGAGCAGAATTCATTCTCTTACCTTCGTTTTGGCACTTGGAATATCCAGGGCAAATCGTCGGAGCAGCTCTTTGCTTTGCTTGCTGCATTTGACATTGATATGCATGTGTCTGCTCTTCAAGAGGTCACCGTAGAGTCTTCCTTGGAGGCAGGAGGATATGACTTCGTCATGGACGCAACCAAGGAGTGGATTACTCTGCTGGCCAAGCCACCAGGGTGTTTTCGTGCATGTGGCGTCCTTTTTGATCAGGACCATCTTGTGGACATCAGCAACATCAAAGTTGGACATTCTCATGTGGTTGCCAAGGTGCGGCTCAAGGAGTTCCCAACCCCTTTTGTCATTGCAAGTGTACACTTTCCTCATAGCAAGCGTCCCATCTCTGATTTGGCTGATGCCCTGCAGTCCTTGGGCGAAGACCTTGAAAGATATGTACAGGATGATGCCCCAATGGCAGTGTTGGGCGACCTCAATGTGTCCATCGCAGGCGAAAGCGGGGAAAGCGCTCGTATGGTTCTTTCAGCTCTCACTTGCATGGGTTTGATTCATTTTTCTCATGACCTTGCTTCCACACGGCCTCCCTCCAACAGACGGTTGGACCATTTCACCTACAATGACGCATGGCTGAGCAAATGTGCTTTTCTTCCCGGGGAAGGGCAGCAAGACGAATACAGTGATCGGCTTGAGCATACCTACGTCCAGGAGAGTTTCCATTGGGTTGCCAGACAAACGCTGGGAGTCGACCATGTGCTACTTACTCATGATTTTCTAGTTCTTCCTGCGCAACGGAAAGCTAGGCGTCTCCGCCCTCGGGCGTGGAAGAGAGTTGGCAAATACAAGACCCTGCCCAGCATTGCGGAACATGTTCCTACTGCTCATGATGCATCAAATGCTTATGCTAGTTTGGTTGTGCTTTGCCAGCGTAGATCGAGAAGACTTTACAGCATCAAGTACCGTGACAATTCTCAGATCACAGATTTGTGTCGTCTTCGTAGCATTACTCATGACCGTGCTGAGCGTGAAAGGCTATCTAAAGCAATTTTTGAGCAACGTGCTCTGGCACGTCGTTCGTGGCTTCAATCTTTGTGGGATCGTGCTTCACAGGGGGATTGGAGCGCGAGGGCGTACCTTCAACGACGCAAACCTCGTGCAGGGGGAGTTAGTCACTTGGTAGCGGATGCAGGCTCAGTTGAAGCAGCTGTATGTACTGTGCGACAATTTTTCGATGAGCGCTTTACAGGGGAGCCCCCTCTTCCAGAGCCAAACCTCCCATGGTGTACGCCCCTAGACTGGCCGGTTGAGCCACCTATTCAGACAGCTGAGCTCCTTATTGCTCTGAGCAAGCTCAAGAATGGGAAAACTACTGGGTCTACGGGTGTTTCCTTTGAAGCTTTGAAGGGTATTGCTGAAGCCCCAGGCGGTGAGGAGCTATTGCTGCAAACAGTCAACCATTTGCATCGACACCCTGAGCAGGCCCCCACTGAGATGTTTCATGGTTTAGTTGTTCTTCTTGGCAAAACTTTGCGGGTGCGCTCCCCCAAAGACCTACGTCCCATTGTTCTGACTGAGTCCCTGTGCAAATTGGTGGCCAGTATTAGCACTTCGCGCAGCGTGGATCGGTGGCCAGCCCCTTACGAGATGCTGGGAGGTGTTGCAGGCGTGCAGGTTGCAGAAACCATCTGGGCAGCCAAGACAATGCTTGCAAGAAGTCGTATGTTTGAGGATTCCTATTTGTACCTTCGCATTGATGTTTCAGCTGCTTTTGATTCTTTACAACACCACGCCGTTCAGAGGCAGTTTTGTGATCATTATTTGCCTGAGCATTCTGTGAGTCTGCGGTTCCTGGGTCATTTGATTCGTAGCCAACATTTAACTTTCGCTGTACTTGAACATGAATGGAATTTGGCCCCTGCCCGGGGCATTGTGCAAGGAGGCTGTCACAGCCCCAAAATCTTTGCAAGAACTCTATGTAACGTTTTTGCCTGTCTGCGCAACCAGTGGTTGACGAGCGGGGAAACGCCGCCCTTCCAGTTTGAAGCCATGCGCCTTTGGGCGCTTTTCTTTATTGACGACGGCTTGCTGGTTTTTCGTGACCTTCCGCAACTACAACGACTTTTTCCTCAAGTTTGTGCTGCTCTGGCTTCCATTGGGCTTAGCATCAACCTGGAAAAGTGCAGGTTATTGGGGTGGCAAGTTCCGCGGACTTTGCCGGCATGTTTGCAAGGTGTTCGGGTGGTGGATCGGGTTGTCTTCCTTGGGGTGCCGCTCTCGGTCACTTCTTCTGACAACGATATGGTGGCGTCTCTCGCGCGCAGAGCTGTTTCTGCTTTCTTTTCCAACCGCCGCCTGCTTACCAGTCGAGCTGCTACAGTGTTTCAGCGAGCAAGGATGTTTCAGGCGCTTGTCACCTCAACCGTCAGGTGGTGTATTGGAGCAGTCGTTCCTTTCGCTGGAGCGCTGAATTCTTTCCGGGTACAGTGCGTGACCTTGCTGGTGTGGTGTTTGCGACTTCGGTCGCACCCGAGTTGGCATGATGAGAAACAGTATGCCTGCGTGCGGCACATTGCCAAACTGTGGGGTCGTGTGTGCTGGGGAGGACTGTGGGATGTGTTGGCGTTGGAACAGCATTGGCGTCTTTTGGGACATATGGTGCGGTCGGAGACTACGCGCGTGCCTGCAGCTTTTGTTTTATCGGAAACCCACACTGGCGCCATTCTGCACGGGCGCCGCAGATACCGACGTGGCCCGGACAACACAGGTTCTGCCTTGGTTTCACGGTTTTTGGGAGCTCGTGGACTCGACTTCACTTTGGCTTATGATAGGGAAGCTTGGGAGCAGCAGATGCGAGCTTGGGTGCGATCGCATTCTGGCACTGTTCATCCTGTTGGTGAGAATGTATTTTCTGTGGACCCTTTACATTTTGCCTGGCACAGGAGGTGCATGCAAGGGGTGTGCTTTGGATCTCAGACGTTCTTCATTCGCAGAAACCATGATAGATTGCAACTTGTGGAGCTACGTCGGTCAGAAGGCTGGATTTCATTTGCGCTGGCCGCTGCTACCAATGATTTTTGTCATCTTGAATCTTTGTTAGACACAGCAATTCGCTCGACCACTGTACATGTTCGATTGTTCATGCATGAGTGTCATATTGTTTTGCCTGCCTCCAGTCAGCGATTATGGGAGCGCGGCGTGATTGTCGAATCTAGTTGTCTTCCCCTTATGTGGTTCCCCTGTGTGAATTGGCCACAGGGCCAATGAGTTTGGGGGGCTGTGCATGCCCTGTCCGCGCTGGACTAACCCTCGGCTGCAAGGCTGGAGAGAGCGCAAGCAAAAAAAAACAAAAAAACACCTCAATGGCAACAGGCACACATGTAGCAAGCGGCAAGCCCCCAAGATTGTTTAAGCCCCGGAGATTGTGGATTTTGCCGAAGTGCAAGTACAGGATGTCCTTTTTTGGGGGGATAAGTTTGAATGTCGACTTGAAAAGCGGTTGGTTGCGAAAAGGTGTGCCACACCTCGGGAGAACGAACCATCGAACGTATTTGCAACAGTCAACTCAAGTCGGGGGATCTCAAGAAACAATCAACATCGGAAGCAGAAGGTCAACATTTTACAAGGGTCCCTGCCTTTAACATCCCTTGTTTAAGTTTTTTTTTGTCCCGGTGTGAAGGCCGGCCAAGCGATTATCCTAGGCTGAAGTGGAGGCACACGTGTCCCATTTGATCTTGGCTAGGTTCTGTGTTTGTCTTTGCCTTTGGGCAAATCAACGTACATGTTCGACGGTTTGGGCCCAAGGGTCATGAAGAACCCAGCTGGCCGATTTTCAGATCTGGAGAAAGAGGCGAAGCATGTGGTCTCCAAGACTCCCAAAGAACAAGGACCGCGTTTTTCCATGTAAAGAAGCCCCCGATGCATCTAGGGCCCTGAAACAGCCAGGTTTGAGACCCCCAAACACCGACTAGGGGTGTCTACTGGAGGGGTCGGGTCTTCCATTGAAAGCCGAAGCCGATCGGAGCCTCGGGGTTACCGGGCAACCTTTGTCAGGTGCTTACAGAGAGCACGGAGGCGCTCTACCCGGCCTCTCGGCATGTAAAAAAGCACGTCGTTGGTGTCCTTGTGGGTTGCTTTGGTAGGAAAAATGGATGGGTTTCGATTCCTGGTTTACCTGGTGGTTCAATCATATACCAGGGAAACCCATCCATTTCCCCTAAAAGGACGCCTGTGAAAACACGCGGTTCCAATTGTCCGTCCTTGGCTTGTTGGCTGGTCTCGATTTTGCTGAGTAGTTTTGGCCACTTCTTGTGATGCCAACGGAACCTTTTTACCCGTGTGGCTTTCCTTGACGGCAAAAGTTCACACTGCGTAGGGGATCTGAGTGCGCATGGATGCGAGTTCAATCCACTTTGGTACAGTGGATGGACGAAATCCTGCACCACCTAAGAAACCCTGGACTAATATGATCCCCTGTAAATACCAACAAACGTTATGGTTTCAACCATGGTGTCTTGGGTGGTGCGAAATGGATTTTGTCCATCCACAGTATCACAGAATTGGCAACCATCCAGTTCTATCCAGCGGCGACCAAAAGGCCCTTTGGACCTTTTGGAAGCCAATGGCTTGTCCAATGAAACCTACTAAAGGTGATCGACCTAGTGCCCAGAAAGGGAATTGCTCTCTCAGAACTTTGGCGCATTTTGCCAAGGGATGTTAGGACTTTGACTTTTTGCCAACTAATGGGTTTTCCGGATTAACCCACTAAAAGTCAAACTTTTAGCAGGGGAGCAGAAAGCAACCCAGAGAATACACTTACTCCCGGAGTTTCTGGACTTTAGTCACTTGTTTGGGGTTGGCTGCCTCTTTGTTGTTTTCCCAAGACTTGGTGGCTCCCAGCCATCCGGTTCCTTAGCCTTTTAGCTTTTTAGCGTTTAGTGGTAGGTTCCATTGAACCCACTAAAAGTTAGTCACTTTTAGCGGGGGATCAGAAAACGGGCAGCCCAGAAAAGTTTAGGCGTTTCTTTGGCCACCCTCGATCGGAAGGGAGAACATCAAGAGCGGTTTCCGTGAGGTGCTCACGGACAAGGTGCATCAGCTCGGGCTCTTCTGGAAGTAGACATCGCTCGTGGCTCATCGGAGGCCTGGCTGGTCATTCAGCTTCCATTTGCTGAACAGAGTATTTTTCCCCTGGTTGGTTTTAATGGGAAGCTATCTCTATTGTAAGGCTTAAGCAATTGGAGGCTCAGTTTTCAGTCGACCTTCTATTTTGATCCTCCTGTTTTTTGCTCTAAGTTGGTAAACTCGGGCTGCTTTCCCAAGGGTTCAGGGTTTCTTTCCTCCATTTCTTTCTTGCAGCCTCCAAACAGTTGCAGTTTCAATGGATGCCACCAAGTGGACTTTTGAGGGTGCCCAGTTGCCCAACACCTCTCCTTGGTTGGGTTTGCAAATGCCGGCTTGCACAATTTGTCATCTTTGGAACTGTTCGAAATGACCCTTTTGTACCTGTTTGCGTTACTTCTGCCCAGCGGAGACATTTGGACTCTTCTCAGAACCCATCAAACATCAGGCAATTCATGCTTGGATTTGGATTTGAACCCCTGGCTTCGTAGATGGATGGGAAGCCACTCCCGGATCACCTCCAAACCACCACACTCGCCACCAAGTAGAGGGAAGCTGAAAAAACTGGAATCTCGCAAACTTGATGTCTGCCCGGGTTCTCCTAGCATGTTGTTGGTGCCCCTGAATATCAGTGGGCACCTTTTTCGTTGCCTTGCTGAGTCAAGACCCTCTGGACGCAACGGCAGAGAGAGAGAGAGAGAGCGAGAGAGAGAAACAAGGGGGCTCCCGGTTTCTACGGTTCGGGTCACCTTCTCCGGTCACGCTCCGCACCCATCCGCTCCAGGTCTGACCTCAGTGAGTTCACGGAGATTTCGGGCCAAAGGGCATAGCATGGGCAGCGGACAAAATTCTATTGACCTTTCTCTTAGTTGCGCAAGGCCGACCTTTTAACCTGTTGTTTTTCCAGGTTAGGTCTATTTTTAGTAAAGGTCCCAAGAGGCTAACCTTTTGTTTCTGGGTCCTTGCAACCGAGTTTTAGGAGGTGGTTCTATCATCTAGGGCTGCAACATCCTTCAGATCAATATTGAGAAAAAGTGAACCGGTTTTGGGCGCTGCTCGCATGATGTCGTGCTTTTCTGAAGCTTCAGTGGAGCCGAACCCACGTTGAGTGGGTATTTGTCCAATTTTTGAAACGACCGCTGCTCTACGGCACCCAGTTTCAAACGACCATGGGCGAAAGGCTGGGGCAAACTCTAGCTGTCCACAGTTTAGGCTCAGTCAGTCAATCGCTTTCTCAGGGAAGCATGCACGACTCAATGATTTGCACACAAAACACTGGATTCTATTCATGCTCAGACACGCCGATGGCCCGACTCGCCGCCGGCAATCACAGATTTTGCATTGTAGTTTTGACCGCTCGAATCGCTCTCAGTTGCCCGAAGCGCAGCGACTGGATGAGAGGTGTTGCTGTCAACCTGGTCTATGCTGAGGTCACTCAAAGACTCGGTCTTTCTCCAGTCCCTTGGGCAAGTGAGATTATTGCTTTACGCACAGCTCCCAAGATCGGTGACTCAAGTGGGACGTAGGGCTCAGTGGCAAGCAGGCTATAGCAGGCTGAGGTCAAAACAAAAAGCATGTTTCGCGTTCGCCCTGGGTACTCGCTTCCCGAAGGGAAGCAGGCGTCACTGACCTTTTGCCAGACCCTGCTTGGGGGACTCATGAGACCACGGAGCAAGAAGCCAAAGAACGAGTCTGCTTGTCAGCGCGGGATTCGTCTTAGTTGGCATATGCACATGTATTGAGGAGCGAGGTGTCTCAGGGGGGGGGGGGGTTCGACGAAAAAACTTTTGTATTAGGGCTTCCTGGCAAAGGATTGTGCTTTCCTCTGGGTTTCCCCACACCCAACATATCGCCCTTCCACCAACTCTGTGACCTTTTAAGTGCGGAGGCAAGTGGAAGACTCTCTGCTACACGGAGCCGCTGTACCAATAGCTCAAGAATCGTCGTTTTTCTGTGAGGCACGGCTCAGGGTTCAAGTCAGTCAAAGAGCAATGGCGGAGCGCGAGGATGCACCGTTGGTGCATGAGGAGAGATTTGATCGATGCGTTGTGCCTGCTTCGACGCGTTTCGGGTGACATCTGACGGATGACGTTCTTTTCGTCCTTTACCAAGCGCCCGGTACTCAATACTGTATCGATTTTTTGGCTGAGGGTTGAATATGGTTCAAGCGTTCGTGCTGAATGTTGGTAAGTTCCATGCCCCAACACTGCTAGCATTCAGCCTGTCTTGATATGGGTATGAGGTTTCATCGGGGACCCTCCGGTGGATATCATTTAGGCTGGGATTTGTGTCCTCCAGCCATTTTTGCCATTAGATTCATTGCCATAGGTTTGGTGATTGGTACGTTGGACCATTGGCTTTCAACATTTGAGGACAAAATCATCGCAAAGAGTGTGTCCCCCACTTTTGTTTGCTTAAGAATATGCATGTTATTTTTCCTGTTGGTTTTAAAGGGATTCAGCTTCACTACTGGGCATATTGGACTTAACTGTGCAAATGGAAGAGCCCATGTTTGAGGGACCCCCCAAAGCAGTTTTTTCCTTCTGGCTTCTCTTTTAAAAACAACAACCCAAGAAAAGAAAGGTATCGAGCCGCAACAACAAATAAGCAGACCAGGTGCAGAAGTTCCACTTGGTTTCCTTTTCGCTTCTCTTCAACCCCCCCCCCCCCCCCCCCCCCCCCCCCCCTCCGCCCCCTGCCCCCCCCCCCCTACCGCCCCCCCCCCCCCCCACCCCCCCCCTCCATCCCCCTTCCCCTCCCCCCTTCCCCCCCCCCGGCCACACCCTAAAAACCGGGTACACCCACGTGCCCCCGGAATTCCACGTCTCAGTTGTTCAGTGGCTCCCTTTTTCCAACTTTTTTTGTTGGGTGGCTGCCCCACTAGAATGGTCCAAGCCCAAAAAACGGGTTCCAATTATTGTTTTCCAGTTGGTCACCGAACAACTGAGACGTAGGAGGCGGCCATGGGCTGGGCGCCAGCGGGGATCACCATCTTCACCTTCGCGGCGCCCTCCGCGGTCATGGCTGTGCCCTTTGCCATCGGCAACGCGGGCTTTCTGGGCGGAGCCCCGGCGCCGTAGTTTTTGATTGACGCTCTGTGCTTGTTGTTTTTTGTTGTGTTTGTGTTGTTGTTTATGTTTTCCTCCATGTTTGGTGTTTGGTGTTTGGTGTTTGGTGTTTCTTGTTTGTTGGATTTGTGTTGTTGTTTGTTTGTTTGTTTGTGTGTTTGTTTGTTTGTTTGTTTGTTTGTTTGTTTGTTTGTTGGTTGGTTGGTTGGTTGGTTGGTTGGTTGGTTGGTTGGTTGGTTGGTTGGTTTGTTGGTTTGTTGGTTTGTTGGTTTGTTCAATGTTTGTTTTTGTGTGTGTGTGTGTGTGCTGTTTTTTGGTTGTTCGCAGAAACCGGGGGGACTCACCGAGTCCACGACGGCCATAGTGTTTTTTTCTCAGACAGTAGGGATTCACCAAGTCCAAGAAGGAAGGCCAGATGGAATTGTTTCTTTCTTTTCAGAAACCAAGAGGCCATATCGGTGTGAGTCAGACACTGGGTAACCCCAAAGCCCGTTTTGCGTTTGTATTTCTCGGAAACTTGTGATGCAAGGCCTGGGTGTGGGTCACACATTGGGAAACCACATGTGCCTTGGTAAGTGGAGACGGGGACTAAAGCCTGCGGTCCATGTCCTGGTGGTTTAATTTGGCCCATACCCATAGAATTTGTCTATGGGTAATTTTCCATTAACGTCAAATTGTGGCTATGTTTTGTTAACTAATTCCTCAACAGCTGGAAGGGGTTTGGGGGGTAGGGGGGGTAGCTTGCAGGGAGGGTTTCACATATTGTGCGGTGATTTCCTTCTTTTTTGTCGTTGATTCACAGTCCAAGAAGGACAGGTGGATTTGTCTCAAAATAGGGGCACCCAAAAAATATCGAAAATGGGTGGGTTCCCCTTTAAACCAACCGCAAAGAATTACCCTCAAACAAAGCTGTTTGTTCTGGAGTTGGTACCCTTTGTTGGTGCCTGTTAAGCCATTCCAGACGTCCTGGCAACGACTCATTTCAGGCTTAAGAGGAAGCCAAAAGGAGAAACCCTATTTTGACACATACCCATTGTTTGGCGTCTGTTTTTGAGAGTACCCTGTTTGGGGGGAGCTTAGAGGGAAACCAAAAGGACACCCACAATTCTACAAGCGGTTTAGTGGGAGAGAAGATTTGGGCCAAACTGGAAGTATGGTCAAGACAGTATGTGCGACTCTTTTTTTCTGAGGGTACACAGGGTACACTTTTGGGGCACGTCAAAAAAAGCACAAACCCAAATAAGTTGACAAACGATTCCCCCAATTGGGGTTAGCCCCCGCTTGTAAGTGGGATATGACCTGGGTGTTGACCCTCTTGCTACCTTGGCCGAATACCTAAGTATAATAAAGCCTCAAAATAGGGGAACCTCCGGGCTTGTCTTTTCTTTTGTGGTTTCCCTTTAGCAAGATGTTGACTTTGAGTGAAGGCAGATGGCACAACTGTCCCATGTTGGTTTTTTGCCGGGAATTGTGCCACCTACTTTCGCCTAGATATGCAAAACATAGCTTGCCGGTGCTGAGTGTCGGAATGACCCAGGGTGTTGGGAATGAACCGGAAGAGGATTCCCTGAAAGGAAACTATAGGGGATGCTTCATAGGGGGCCCTTTCCATTTCTCATTCCCTGCCTATCGAACCAGCAAGTTTGAAGGAAAGCCCCCACCAAAAAGGCCGAAACAACCGGACTCCATGTTGTTCTTTTTGTTGACTTGGAACGAAAAAAGCCTTTCACAGGGGAAGTCCATTGGATGTTTGTTTTCATTGCCCCCCTGGGCGCCCGCGCGATAGCCAAGGACTGGTGATCTGTTTGATTATCACAGGCGGGGCTACCATTGCGTGCCGTGGGGCAAAACGGCACGGAAGTCACGGCACGGGTTCCTTAGGCTCAGCGGACTGGAGTGGAAATCGACAAGCATCCATGCATCCATGCATCCATGCATCCATGCATCCATGCATCCATGCATCCATGCATCCATGCATCCATGCATCCATGCATCCATGCATCCATGCATCCATGCATCCATGCATCCATGCATCCATGCATCCATGCATCCATGCATCCATGCATCCATGCATCCATGCATCCATGCATCCATGCATCCATGCATCCATGCATCCATGCATCCATGCATCCATGCATCCATGCATCCATGCATCCATGCATCCATGCATCCATGCATCCATGCATCCATGCATCCATGCATCCATGCATCCATGCATCCATGCATCCATGCATCCATGCATCCATGCATCCATGCATCCATGCATGCATCCATGCATCCATGCATCCATGCATCCATGCTTCCATCCATGCATCCATCCATGCATGCATCCATGCATCCATGCATCCATCCATGCATCCATGCATCCATGCATCATGCATCCATGCATGCATCCATGCATCCATGCATCCATGCATCCATGCATCCATGCATCCATCCATGCATGCATCCATGCATCCATGCATCCATCCATGCATCCATGCATCCATGCATCCATGCATCCATGCATCCATCCATGCATCCATGCATCCATGCATCCATCCATGCATCCATGCATCGATGCATCCATGCATCCATGCATCCATGCATCCATGCTTCCATGCATCCATCCATGCATCCATGCATCCATGCATCCATGCATCCATGCATCCATGCATCCATGCATCCCATGCATCCATGCATCCATGCATCCATGCATCCATGCATCCATGCATCCATGCATCCATGCATCCATGCATCCATCCATGCATGCATCCATGCATCCATGCATCCATGCATCCATGCATCCATGCATCCATGCATCCATGCTTCCATGCATCCATGCATCCATGCATCCATGCATCCATGCATCCATGCATCCATGCTTCCATTCATCCATGCATCCATGCATCCATGCATCCATGCACCCAGGCAGCCATGCATCCATCCATCCAGGCAGCCATCCATCCATCCATCTATCCGTCCGTCCGTCCGTCCGTACATACATATGCATGCATCCATCCATCCATCCGTGCATACATGCATACATACATACACACACACATACATACATACATATGCATGCATGAAATCATGCATGCATAGTAAAAAAAAACATGGGCGGCTTCAAGTGCCCCATTTCAGGCACTTCCATCGCCGGGGCGTTGATGCTGCTGGAGATGAAGCTTTTGCTCCCAGAGTGCGAGACCTTTGGGGATCTAGGCGGATGTCAAAGCAGGGTGTATGTGGGTGTGGCTTTAAAAAAATGTTGGTTTTCCTTTGGGTTTCCCTTCCAATATCGCACAAAAGGGGGGAACCCTCGAAAAAAACAACACACACACACACATTTGTCAAAATAGGAAGCCAAGCTCCCTGGGGCGCAACTTGCCTCACGCCCCTCAGCCGCCATTTGGCTCACAATTGGGCCCTTGTTTTCCCCGCCTCCTTTGAAAGTCGCGCCTTCTTCTTCTTCTTGCCCTTTGTTGGGCCTGTTCCTGCTTAAGAACATTCTGTTTCCTTGCCTGTGCCTGTGTCTCTTATTCATTATTCCTCTTTTCCGTCTTGCCTCAGCTTTCAGGTTGCAGTTTGGATTGGCTCGAATTTGGATTTGAACCCTGGTACTTGCAGAGGATCACTGAGAACCCGCCCCGAACCACACCTCACCACAAATCCAAGTGAACTTCCCTCAGCCCACCAACGGCTTCGAATTGTCGTGGTTTCCTTCTATGAGAAGCATTTCTATTGTAAGTGTGTACATATACATATATATATACACACAAAAGCTACATGAACATGTACCTACGCATATGAATATATATATATATATGTTCATATACAAGCGCAAACCAATGCGGGTGATTGAACAAAAATGCAGTGCTTTTCGCAGGCATGCATGTCCTGGGCCGGCCGGGCCGGATGTGGGGGAACACCATCCAGTTGGGGAACTTCTGCCTTTTCATGCCCTGCGCGCTGCGGTTTTGCGCCCTTTCGCTGGCGGGCATCGGCATGGGCATCCCTGGGCTGCCCGAACAGATCGGATCAGATCGGATTCGGCCCCCGAGTTCACGAACGACGGGGGGGGCACTGGGGAGGCTACCCTTATGCACCCCCTTAAGGTTTTAAGGGCTTCCTTGGCTTATCCTGGGCTTAGGGATGGCCCCTTCCCCATATCCCCCTTAAGGGAAGGGGGGTGTCCATGTCTCTGCAATGCGCACCTTCCCAAGTGGGTTTGTTTCAAAAAGGAATCGGTACCCCAAAAACCGGCTTCGGTTTCCCCTTTGGCTTTTACTTGAAATAAATGTAAAAGGGTACATAGCCTTCAAAAGACAGTCCCAAAAAAGGGTTCCCTATATCTCCCTTGTAAGCGTCACGTTTTGGGCAAATCCAGAGTGATGTAGCAACCCTTTTGGGGCTTTTAATCGGGAAGCATCAGGAACCGACTGGAAGAAGGGCACAGAGCCTACAATAAGACAGACCCAAACAAGGGTTCCTTATATCTCCATTTTGTTTGTGATGTTCCTTTTGGGGCTTCAAATCTAGAAAACGGTTTGGATGCGCCTTTTGTGGATTTCACCTGTTCTTCCCCCTTTAGGTTCTTTTCTAGTACTCTTTTAGTACTCTTTTAATATCCCACAGGGGTGGATCCACAAAAACCACATCCAAGCGGTTTCCTAGATCAACAAAAACCGAGAAGCTTCTCAGGTTTGGGGGATGCATCGACTACTACGTCTTTGTGGTCGCCTTCATCTGCCTTTTGACGACTCAGGTGAGGAGTTTCAACAACGTGGAGGTCTTCACCGTCATCTCCCTGTGCTGCACCATTGGCATGGCGCCTCGCTTTTGATCTGGGCTCATTCTTTTGACGGCTGGGAGTTATCACAGTCACGAAATGTTTGTTTTTTTCCTTTGACCCACTTAGGGGGTGACTTTGGTCATGGTAAAATAATTAGGCCAGTCGATTGAATTCAGATCCCGTGTATGGATATGAGATATGGATATGAATATGTCTTTTGGGATTGTTGGTACTTGTTGTTTCTCACTTCCTGAGTTCCCGGACTTTACTTTTTGGGGGGGAATACAATTTTAGTGGCAAACAAAAAGTTGGACTTTTTTGTGGTCCACTCAGGAAGTGAGTGTTTCTTCAGAGGCAAATCAACCAACAAAAGAGCGCGGCTCTTTCCCCGCGAAATATCCACTGGAGGGAGTAACACATCGGTCTTTCAGCATGTCCAAACAGGTCCCACACACGGCCGAACCTAAGCGCCGGACGTTTGGGTCCCCCCACTGGACTCTGCGCCCAGGTGGTCTCTATGCTGGTGGCGGCCCTTCAGTTCGACCATGACGCCAAGATCCCGGCCAAGTGGACACCTGGCTGCGATGCGGGCATCGCAGCCGAAATGTTTTTTTCGGGGCAATTCGGACAGGCAGCTTTCTTTTCTTGCCCAGAATTAGCTCTTTTGTTTGTGTTTTTTTGGGGTCCCTTTGTTTTCCACTAACCAGGCAAAAAAGATATTTTTTGTTGGGATCCTAATTCCAGCCTATTTTTTAGCGGTGTGATCAGTAATTAGGGAGAATGAGAAGCTGTTTTTTGTTTGCGCGAAAGGGGGGGTCCATGTAGACCTTACACTAGGGGACGGCCAAGGCTCCTTGATTTGGGCAAGTGAGGGGGATGACGAATATGCCAAAGGGGGGAACTGAACTTGACATCTAGTTTTTGTTTTTCCCAACTGTACATCTCAGTTGCCCAAAGCCGACCTTTTGACCTTTTGGTTTCTCCTTTTTGGTCTAGTTTTAGTCATGACCCCAAAAGGTGATCACCTTTTATTTCTGGGTCGTAGCCCTTCGTACAAAGGGTAGTTACCCTACAGACGTGCACAGACAGACACGTGGCTGCGTCTTGTTTCAGGGGACCCCCCCCAAATAAAAGATGGCGGTGGTTCTTCTGGCTTACGAAAACCACAAGAAAGGGCTCCGTTGAAAAAGGCAACAAACAGAAGCACATAGCACATGCATATATATATATATATATATACACATTAGACAATACATATACAAACAGGCACGTACATATACATATATATATATATATATGTATACATGTATATACATATATGTGTATGTATATACACAGATGTATATATATATGCACATGTAAATACAGGTGTTGGTTTCCCTGGCTTTCGGGCAACACGAGCCCAGGATCGGCAACCCGGAGCCGGAGGCGGGTTTGAGCCTGGTGAGGCTGGCCAGTGGTTGCACCATCAGCGCCTGGGCCTTTGTCCCGGCCTTCCTCACTGCGGCTCGGCAGTGGGTGGTCGTTGTGTGGTGATTGGGTGGGTTGGGTTGGTTGCTTGGTGGGTCTAATGAGGGTTGGGTTGGTGTAGGTTGGGTTGGGTTGTTTTGTTTTGTTTGGTGCAGGGTTTGTTGAGGGTTTGTTGAGGGTTTGTTTCGGGTTTGGTTTTTGGTGGTTTGGGCATTGGATAGTGCTGGCTTAGGGTGGGACAAGCACAATCCTGGCAATGATGCTACTGGGTGGGTTGGGTTGGTTCAGGTTGGGTTGGTTGGGTTGGTTGGGTTGGGGTTGTTGCTTGGTTTGTTGGTTGGGTTGGGTTGGTTTGTTGGTTGGTTTGGTTGGTAAACCACCAAATTTCGTGACAATGCGAACTGAGACATCCAACTGGCGGTTTCTTTTTTTTGTGGATCCCTGGATACATGTCCAAAGCCCCTTTGATTCCCCACTGAGACCTGGCAAGTTTTGAGACGTACCCCTTCTTGGTCGAGTTTGAAGCCCACCGGAGACAAACGACTTGTTTTTGCTGGGGCCCCTCACTTTGAGACGAAGCAATCCCTTTGGGTGTCGAAGCCACGTCAAGCAAGTGGGTTACCATGGGTACAAGGGGACCAACACCAATTGCCCCACCTACAGCAATGGTACTTAAGTTGAAACATCCAGTCAGTGGTGCCCTTTTTCTGCTGTTGGGAAGTGGCGATCACCCAGCCCAAACAGGGTGCCCTTTGGGGGCAGATTCAAATCCGCTTTTTGCTCCGGCTTCTTCCACAGGCCAGAGAAAAAGTTTTTGTCGCGTGTGGGGTGAGCAGAGCAACTGAGCATGAATGTTGCACCCGAAAGCCAGCTGATAGTTGGATATACGTATATCCTTCCGTTTGAACAACCTCAGCGAGCCAAGCACTGCTACCTAGTGAAACATAAATGGGCCATGAGCTTTCGTGCAAGAGCTCCTGGACACCCAGGACCCCCTCAAGGAGCTTCCATTTGGTTGCCCAAGTTCTTTGGCCCTCACTCAACCCTCAGCCAAGGGGGACAAAAGCCCAGAAGCTGTCCCCAAATTCGGTGAATACCCAAATGGGTTTCTTTGCGGCTGTGACACGCACGAGTTCTTGCAAGCTTGATTCGGCCTTTATGGAAAAACCTGTTGGACAACCCCTACATCGCGGGGGGTAAACCACCAAAGAACAGAAGCTAGATGAGCTTCCTGTAGCTCACTTGTCAACCTTTGGTTTCGCTTCAACCTTTTGGGCTCAAGTTGGACTTTTTTGTCTCAGTGGTTGCTGGTCCTTGTTTCTCCCCTTTGCTTCTCAGCTTGTTCTTTCCTCCAACTGTCCGGCTGGTTTTTTTTGTACCATGGGAACACCACGGTAACACGACCTTGTGGGAAGACCATTTTAGTAATAAAATTCTTGGGACTTTTTGTTGGCCACTCAGGAATTGTCCCCAAAGCCAAGCTTTTCTTTCCTGTCCAAAGCATGCGAGCGAGCCACAAGTTTGAGTTGCGAGGGTTCCCTGCGCTGCGCTTCCCGCAAGCCTTGCATTGTAGTTTCTCAGTGGCGCCAATTGGTTTTCCCTTGTTTGGTGGCTTCCCCATTAAACCTGGTCAACCCTATCTGGTTGGAAGGCAGCCGTTCAAAGAGGGAGCTACCAGGGGGTCTGTTTAGGGACATGGTAGGACACCCACCCCAAAAACTCCAACATTGGGCTGGGGGTCCGTGGTTCCGTGGTTAGCAATTCGACCGTTTGCTGGCGTGTATTCCCCGCAATGTAGCGAAGAATCGGACCCCCGACAAATGGGGTTCCGATTCTTTCTGCCGCCTTTCGGGTCATCTTGACAACCGGGTCCCCTGACGCTCGTTGCCCAAAATTGGCGAGTGTCTCGAACTCGGCGGAAGATCTATGCCAGTCACTCAGTCGGTTCCGGGTGCCACTCTGGGACCCCATAGGCTTAAACCCAGGGTTCCCCTTTTTGGGGGGGGGGGTCCCGCATGGGTTTCAGTCTACCCTATGCTCGATCAGTGATCCAATGGTTTCAGGTCGAGCTCAGCACCTGCATGGCGCAGCCCAAAGACTTCAAGAAGCTCCGTTCGTTGTTTTTTTGTTTCCTTTTTTTTCTTCTCCGAGCGTGGGCTCGACTGTTTTTGTTATGTTTTTTGCTAGGCATTCTTCGGTGTTTTCAACAGCTGTTAGGTTTTCTTCCGTCGTTTCGTTTTGTGTTCGTTATGTTTGGCCACCGGGAACCTGAAGACCTTTCATATTCAGACGTATATAGTTTCCGGACTCCTGTGCTCTTGGCCCATTCTGGAGCCCATACCTTGTTTTGCGGGTCTTTTGGTTCGAAAATGGCTGGGTTGTGCAAAACGAACCCGTAATCCTTGTATCATGTGTTGGTGGTTCTCTTGTCAATTTGTTTGCAATATGGCCCCACTTTGGAATTCAGATCAGGATTAGGGATGGCCCCCCTTCTGAACAACTCAGCATTGACCAATGGTATCCCATACAAGTGGGTTTGCATTCAAATGGGGAAACCTACAAACCCGCCCTCTCACTGGGCGTCGTTTTTTGGATCACCTTTGCGGTGTGCCTTGGCGAGTAAGGAAGAGTTTGTACTTGGCCGGCGCTCTGATCGTTGCAGTGTTCGCTCTGGCCGGGACCGTCGTGGTGGCCCGGTGGGGCTACAACGTAGGGGAAGCCTTGCTGTCCAGTGGCAACATTTTCCCCCGAACTCTTGTCAGGTACCCCTAGATTGTTGGCTTGGATGGGTGGTTTGGGATTTGGATCTTTGGTTCTTATAGAGGGTACATGGGAAACCGCTCCCCAAAGCTTCCATTTACATTGAACTTAGGGAACTTTAGCGCTACGTTCAAAGACTGAGATACGGGGAGAGTTTTCCCCGTTTGCGGGAGTGGGGGAGCTTCAAAGATCGCCAAATTCCTGAGGGTTTCTAAAATCGGACCCCTTTGGGTGGGGGGGTGGGGGGGGGGCTTCTGAGCAATGACTATCAAGCAACCGTGGCCCTGACCAGCAATGTCCAATAATTCAGCGACACCCTTCTTGGTTTTTTGCTTGATGGCTTCCCCACGAAACATTCTGAATCCCAAACACAAGCACTGGGCAACGGGGTATGGGTTTATAATCTTCCATTTGCTTAAATGAAACTGTTTTCTCCCATGTTTGTTTCAAAATGAAGCGCTTTCGTTATTGGACATTTTGAACTTAAAACCACAAATGGGAGAGCCCATGTTGAGGGACCCCCAAACGCAGCTTTTTCCCTTGGCTTGTCTTCAAAACCACCCCCCAAAAAAGAATTGTAGCGAGCCGCAACAACACATAAGCAGACCAGGTGCACTGGTTTTCCACGTGTTTTCCCTTTGGCTTCTCTTCAACCCCCCCACCCCCAAAAAAGAGTACCGAACCTCCAAACAAAAATGATGGAACAGTTGCACAGCTCTTTCAGGTGTTATCACGGCCGTGGCCAAACAAAAAAAGAAGACATGGGGCGAACAAGGCCACTGATCATAAGGAAGTGATCGCCGTCACCCCGGGGGTCGGCGCGTGGCTGCCCGGCGCGGCCATCAACACAGCAGCTCGGCCGGGGCAAAAACACCCAGGGCTGCGGAGCAGCCGGGGGGGCGTCTGAGAAGCTCCGTTGAACCAATTTCGCATTTTAGGGTTTGCTAAGATACGGACCAATGAATCAACCATATTGTGGACCTCGTCGTTGGTATGGACCAGAAAAAAGGGTGTATATATACATATATACATATATATGTTTGTACATATACGGCTTCTACACATGGTTTCCTAAGAATGTGTGTGTCATTCTGGAGGCTCGTTAACTTTTTCGGTTGTTTGGTTTAGAGGAGAACCAAAAGGAAACCGAAGCCCATTTTGAGGGGACACCCAAACAAGAACCATAATTAAACATGTGATGTTTGGTATGATTGGGGGCGATAGCTGAGGCAAAACACTCATTTTGTCTCAGATGTTTGGTGATGTTTTTCTCAAAGGGGCACTTTTGTTGAGCATCCAGGCACGTCTTGCCTTTGCCCTTCAATCTTGCAGTCTGCGTGTCTTGTGTGCGGGCCGGTGCAGGCGACAGGCAAGGCGCAACCAGCCACTCAACAACATTAGCAGCGGTATAATGCGGGCCGTCATTGTCTTCGCTCGGATACCTGAGTTGGCTCCTGGTGATCTGCTTTGGGGCGGTCCTTTTTCTCAGTTGTCGCATTTTGGTCCATTTTTAGTAGAGGTGCCCAACGGTTATCCTTTTAGTTCTGGGTCCTTTGGGCAACTGAGTTTTGGATCTACCTTACTGAGGATTCCCCCAGAATGGCGCCCCCCTTTTCGGCAGGGCCAGGGTTTGATCCGTACCTGGCAGGCGTTCAAAGCTTAGGCCGTCCATCGGGCAAATGCCTATGTCTTCGTTTGGGGCCATTTGGGGGTTTCTCAATATTGGATTCAGTCCCCAATAATGGCTGGGTTCTTGTTGGTTTGGTTTTTGCGTACCAAGCTATACTGCTAGATTGGGCTATATACTTGTATTTTTTATTGCGGTGGGTGAGTTCCCCAAAGCGGCAACTGGCATTCTCACCTGTACACCATTTTTCAGTATGCTTGTATACTTCATATGGTTGATCCCCCTAGTTTGACGAAGCACTTGGGGCACGGATGTGACAGGAAAACTTGTGGGTAAATGGGGCATATAGGCATAACATATTACCATGCTGGTGCACGCGGGTATGTGTCAAAGGGGGCCGTTTTTTTTCCATTGCGGTTTGTGTTTTTTTGGTGTCACTTTAAACCAACCTGCAAAGGGTTCCTTTCCGTTTCTTCTGCTCTTGGCAAGTTCATTTTTCATTTTTAGTGGTGGGCTGCAAAGTTTTGCAACCATGCTTCCATTTGCTTAAGATTTTGTTTTTAATTATTGTCCCTTGTTGGTTTTAAAGGGAGTTTATGACTATTGAAGAAAAACACAAAAAAAACAGGGGGCTTAAGCAAATGGAGGCATGCCAAGAGTTGTGAAGTCTACACCACCACACCCACCATTTTTTCGGAGATCGGCCGAGGTCTTCAATGCCTGCCAGCTGGGTGGGAACTTTGTGTGCTACATGCTGGACACATGGCCAGGCTTAGTGTTCCGTTTGCCAAGAATGCTTTGCAGTTTGCCAAGGGATGTTAGGACTGAATCACTTTTTGCCAACGAATGGGTTTTACTAAACCAGTAAAAGTTGAACTTTTAAGCTGGGGAGCAGTTAGCAACCGAGAATAGTTGATGTTCAATCAAAACCCAGGCAATTGGAGGGTAGTACAGGGCAATTTAAGCAATGAATGGGTGCGGCCGCCTTCTTGGTTCTTTATATGGTTCTGGGTAGACCGTTTTAATACCGGGTTTTGACTCTGACTCATTTGCTTTATTTCCCCTTGTCGGTTTTGAAGGGAATCAATTCCACTACTGGGAATATATCGCTGTTTTGTCCAGGGGGCGAAAAAGCAAATGGATGAAGTCTTTCTAACTTTTCGGATTTGTTTTGTCTTCTTCGCTGTCCTTGGCATGCGTTTTAGTTTTTGTTGGTTCTGTTCTTTGTTCCCTTTCGTGGGTCGCTGCAAACAAAAATACGCGCACACACACACACACACACACTTTGAACAGCTCCCCAAAAGGAGTCAAATAAACTTGTAGATCTCGTCCACGCTCCCTGAAACAGCTAATTCTGCAGGACGTTTTTTCCGGCGGCTTTGAGCCACTCGGTGTCTGGTCTTCGCTGGCCACGACAGACATCCATGGGTTCCTGGCCCCCTGCAGTTTTAACAAGCCTTTGGTCTCAGGCTGTTGCACACACACACACACACACATTTTGCCAAGTTTCAGCAAATCACCCGTTTTTTGTCCTAATTGGTGACCCCAGCTCTGGTTGAAGCTGAAACCGCCCCTAACCTTGAACCACCAATCCAAACCACCCTTTGCGGGGTCAAATGACACCGACTTCCGTTGTGGATTTGTGGGTGGGATGCGTTTGAATACCTTTTCTTGCAGTTTTAGCGGGAAAGTAAAGGGACAACTCAGCCATTTTGCGGGGGTCCAAATCAAAAACGACTAGCATCGAGTAGCCTTTCATTTCCAGGTTTTCTTAGGATCAGGTGACGAGAATCCACGTTTTTAACGGGAAGCCAACAAGAAAGCTCAGCCATTTTTTGCAGGGTCCGCGAATTTTTTTGGTGTTAAAGGGGAAACCAAAAGGACAACTCCGCCATTTTTCGTCCAACAGAAAAAATAACACGACCCGCCACATGAGGACAGCGTGCCATTGGGCCGCTTCTGCCAGAAGACCTGGGCGCCGGACTTCAAGGACACCTGGTCCGCGGGGGACGTGGCCAGATACTTGACCTACACCCTGCCGGCCCCGGAGCTGAACAAATCTGAGAGGTGTGTCGTCTTTTACTCCGCTGTTGGGTTGGATCGTTTTTTTTCTTGACTGCTACAGGGTTGGATCTTTAGACTTTAACTTCTGGGGCAAATCAAGAAGTTTTCCTCTAAACCCCTAAAAAGTTAAACTTTTGGCTGGGGGATCTACAGCACCCAAGTTTAGGGCTTGGCCCCCAAAAAGGTGATTTTTGCGGCTCTGACTTCTTATGTGGCTTTGTTATATGGGAGTTGTTTGTTTGTTTTTTCGGGTGTCTTTGTAGGTGTTGTTGCCCCCCAAAATGGATTTTTGCGGCTGTCTTCTGACTTCTGAAGGGTTCCCCATATGGGAGCCACACAAAAGGGGTACTCAGTTGTGTGTCTTTTTTAGGTGTTGTTGCCCCCCAAAATGTTTTTTTTTGCGGCTGCCCTTATATGGGAGTTGTTTTTGTTTTTTCGGGGACCCCCCCAAAATGCGTTCGTTTTTCCTTTTGGTTTCTGTTGAAAGCCACACAAAAGGGGTACTCAGGTGTCCTTTTTAGGTGTTATTCCCCTCCAAAAACGGTTTTTTGCGGCTGTCTTGTGATTTCTGAAGGGTCCCTTATATGGGAGTTGTGTTTTTTTTGTTTTTTGTTTTTTTGTTTTTCGGGGACCCCCCCCCCAAAAAAAAAAGGCTTCGTTTTTCCTTTTGGTTTCCTTTCAGGCCACAAAAGGGGTACTCAGGTGTGCGTCTTTTTTAGGTGTTGTTGCCCCCCAAAATGGATTTGTGCGGCTGTCTTGTGACTTCTGAAGGGTCCCTTTTTTTGGGGGGGTACCATCCACAATGGCTTCGTTTTTCCTTTTGAAATTCCTTTTCAAATCACAAAAAAGGGCTAGTCCGCCAAAAGACAAACCCATTTGAACAAAAAAATGCGTGTTCTCAGCAGGGAATCAGTTGGCTTCCTGCTGAGCACCAGCAAGATATCTGAGGGATGTGTAGGTGTTGGCTTTTCCCGTTGTTCCCCAAAAGGGGTACCGAGCCTCAAAAAGGGCAAAGACAGGATCCCGGACCTCCAGATTGTCATGGAGCCTGAGGAGTTCCATGCTAGTCAGTCTAATGTTAGTGGACAGGAGGGTATCACCCTTTGGCTTGAATGTCTTCTTGTCCACTTCTCGTAATGCTCATAAAAGGTGATCAACTTTCATTTCCAGGTTGTCTTAGGAGCAAGCGAGGAAACACACCACGGTTTTCAAGGGAAGCCCATCGGAAACTTCCGCTTTTTCTTTGGGGTCCAAACAACAAAAACGAGCCATTTGGTGAGGACTGGGAGAAGAAGCAAGCCGTTTTCCCGAGGCGTTTCTTTTGGCTCTCTTCCTCAGCGTCTTCACCCCGAACGTCAACACGCTGTTGGACTTCACCACGGCCCTCACGACGCCCTGGGTGAGCCAAATCTACCCCGCGGTGCTGCAGCTCTGCCCCACCTTGTCACCTTAAAGCTTCGTTGCGGTTTTCTAATGTCACCCTCCAAAAATAAAACGGTTGGGTATTTGTCAAACTTAAACCGCCAGGATATGGACCGCAGGTTGTAGTCCTTGGTTCCATTTACCAGGGTTCCATTTTGGGTGTGCGTTCTGCACTTGTTCCACGTCTTTCTGTCACCATCTCTCACCTGGTTTTTGTTCTTTCCGTTTGGTTAAATCATTTGGCCCTGGGCCAGGGCCTTTTTTTCGTTCGCAAGGTACTGGAAGTTCAAGAGCAGAGGGGCGGGCAGAGAGTGTGCGCCAGACCCCCTGAAAGCTTCGGAGAAGGCGCTGGTGGTCGTTGCACCCTGGCCGATCCAAACCTTCGGAAGGATTTGTTTTTTGGCCGAGCTCGCCGAACTTCGGGAGGACCTTCTTAGGTGTTCCGAAACTTGAGGTTTTGGAGTTATGCAACATGTGCAGATCCATAGGTGCGGCTGTCTTGTACTTCTTGTTGCTTTGTTTGCAGTCCAGCTATCAAACCAGGTCTTGATTAACCAGGTCTTGATTGTGACTTGCAGGGTGCCGGTTATCTAAGGGGTTACCCAGTGAACGCCGAGTTAGGGACACAAACACGTATCAACCAGCCAGTTGAATAATATTGGGCTTCCATTAGCCTTCCTTGCCCCAAGCGTTTTGACCTTTTGATGATTTGGTTTTCTCGTCTGTTGTCATATTTGATCAAGGTTCTGAAAGGTTCACATTCGACTTCGGGCTTCTTTGGGCAAGCGGATAGGGTCGATTTCAACTCAGTGTCTTGATTCCTTTCTTGCAGGCCCGCCCCTTCATTGTCAGACACGGTGCCCTGGGAGCGCACGTTGCTGCGCTCTTCAAGCGTTTGCCTTTTTCAGTGAGAAAAACAAACGGGTTTTCGGGCATTGTGGCAGAACACGTGAACAGCACCTGGGAGCTCAGCTGGCATAACAGCAACCCCCGGAACCCTGCCGGAAGCCTCACCCGGAGCCGCTCCAAACCACTCCGCAGCTTACTTGGGCAAAGACCACAAAGTGTTCAGTGGTTGGGGAGGACAAGTTCCAAGCAATAAATCCTTGAGGGGATACCTGAAGCTGGCCAGGTTAGCAGATACCTGGCTCCTACCTTGAACTGGTACCTAGCTGGATATCTGAAGAACTGCTACCCAAAAAGCTACCAGCTCAGTGTCCAGCCCCAAGGTCATCCAGTTTCTGGTGATAAAGGCCAGCAAATAGCCAGGAAAATGTTTCTGTTTCCTTGAATCTACCCTCCTACCAATCAACATGGAACCTGAGACCCTGGAAGACAATTTTCCTTTGAAGGGACCCCCTGTCAGGTTCTAAACTCACTTGCCCAAGGCGAATCGTCCGCATCTGACCTTTCAGCTTCCCCTTTCCGGCCTCCCGTTTTTCGTGGCCCAAGAAGGTCGGCCTAACTTTTACTTCTGGGTCCCTAAGGGGCCACTGAGGTTCAGGTACCGCTTAAGTTTCGTGGGGGCAAATCCTAAAAGGTTGGGTCTGTATCTTTTTGATATGCTGCTTGTTCGTTTGTAAAGGGGAACCAAGAGAACCACCACTAGAAGGTCCAATCCCAAACTGAAATGGGCTCTTGGCACCCCACCTCTGATAAACGGCTTGCCGATGGTGCGGCAGAGAGAGAGAGAGAAAATCCCGGACAAAAAACAGAAGGACAGCCCCAAAACGCAACAAGTCGCAGGACAACCACCATTTCGGGGGGGTTCCAATCGTACACGGAGAATGCAAAAGAGTCGCAACCAACCAGTTTCAGGGACCCAGGGACCCCTTCATTTTGGCGGTCCCAATCCTAGAACAAGGACAGACGCAAATGAACAAGAGTCGCAAGCAAGCCGGAAGTTGGTTCATCCCTCGAGGTCTTCGCAGTGGGCTGCTTCAGCTTCCTCGCCTGCTCCCTCAAGGCCTGGCCTTCCCTTCGCTCGCTCGGGCGGATTTTTTTTTCGAAAGCCAGCGGCCATGTCTCCGGCCTCACCAAACGGAAATTCATGGACACCACGGGACAATGCAACGGATGGTTTTTCACAAAAGGGTAGGGCAAAAGGTCGTCCCCTATGTTTTTGTTCAATCCCGCAACACCCTTGCCATTTTTAGATGGATCGCCTTTTGGTACCATGTCAAGTTGGAGAGTATTTGGTGCTTTTTTTTCAGACTCTCTAATTGAACACCGAGGTCAGGGCTCAGGCGGTCCGTAAACTGTTAACGGAGGGAACTTCCAGGGTGTCATGCTCTCACAGCACTTATAGCACTTCCTCATGGACTTTGAACTTTTTGAGAAGACCATTTTAGTGGCAAAAACAAGTTTGGACCTTTTTTGGCCCATCAACTAAGTGAGTAGCACTTTGATCCACGTCTAGTGGCTTCAGTTTTTGATTGCTATTGGGTTGCATCTTTGGACTTTGAAATCAAGCTGGGCTTTCCGTTCCGTATTGAACCCACAACAAGTTGTAAGAAACATGTTGCAGAGGGGTCAACAGCAACCAAGTGTTGAGTTGTTGCTTTCATCTTTCCGACTGGTATTTCATGATCAGTGGCACTTCAGCCAGTGGTGGTCTAGTGTTTAAGTTTACTTTGACTAGAGGGCCAGTTTTGGGCTGCCTCTTTCCACCGCAGCTGAAAGCTTTGGAGTCTAACCCTTTCAACACGCGTGGTTGAACCCTTGCAAAATCCGCAGCCCACCATGCCACCATACCACCAACAACCCAGCGTGCCTGCTCATTTCATGGAGCTTCCCCAAATTTCAGGACACTCCCAGCTTTGGCCAAACAAGAACTGACTTTGAAAACCAAAGGCTTTTGCGCACATCCCAAGAAAAGCCTTAAGGTATAGTACTTATTGAGAATACGGCTGGAGAAGGTTTTGAGGGAAACCGAGAAGCTATTGGAACAACTCAGGCTCAGGTTCCTTTTGACAGGATGCATTCAATAGCCACCTGCTTTAAGGGGATCTTCTGGTCGGCTGGTAAAGGTGGCTCTTTTCAACTGGCCCAAATGTATACTTGAAGGGATCACGATGACTTTTGCCTGAGTGATTTGCTCGCGGAAGAACGGGAAAATGCGACAGAGTTATCCCGTTTACCGTTTAATTGGTGCAATGAAACGAATCAGTTTGAAGACATGGCCAATTCTAGTTTTCTCAGAGGGCAGCCGCTTTACCTCAAGCCAATCACGCCACCGGCACACTACACTGGCATGATGGCAACTTTTGAATCTGGAGGTCGGCGAATTGACCTGCTCTGGCCTTTTGGGTGTCCCGTTTTGGTGCAGATTTGATCCAAGGTCAGCGAAGGTTAACCTTCTATTTCCAGAACCTTTGGGAAAGTGAGTCACTACACATCGGAAAAGGGGGGAATGCAAGAATTATGGAGGCCTTGGATTTATATATGGGTTGATCAGGGGATAAACGTGCTGAGCAGGTAACCACGGCATCCCCCCAAACATGGTGATATACCCTTGTGACCAGTGCGTGATGTGTTGCCTTTGCGTATTTTGGAGCTCCTGGACGTTCAAGCCACCACAAACCACGAGCCACTTGTTTTTTGGGTTAATGGCCATTCCGAATTTGTCCAATCAAGAAACCATGAACCCAGATGTGACTTAGATTTGTTTTGCCATCCCCCCCCAAAATATATATATATATATATATAGATATATAAATACGAACACAAGAAACGTCGTGCCATCCCCCCCCCAAAAAAAAAACAAGAAAGAAAGAAAGAAAGAAAGAAAGAAAGAAAACAAGAAACGTCTTGCCATTCTCCCCCCCCCCCCAAGAAACACACATATATACATATATATATATAAACACAAGAACCAAAAAAAAGCGTCTTGCAGCGATGTCCGAGTTCTCCAAGGTCGCACATCTCAGGCTTCAGGGCCCTCGCGCCCCCGCTTCGGCCCGCGGGCCCTCGCGCCCAGGCGGTGGGCTACCTCGCCTTTGACGAGCTGAGACCCTCCTTTGAGGCCGGGGAAGTGAGCTGCGTGGGGGGGGGGCCTGTGGTTGGGGCCGAATCTCCATGGGGCGAAAGCAGTTTGACGCGGCGGAGGGTTTTTTTGTGGGTTCGGTTGGTTTTTGCTTTTGGTTGGTTGGTACCCGGTCGGATTGGAAAGGAAACCAAGAGTTGACCTTGCCATTTTTGGGGAGCTCCGATTCTGAGATTTCTCAAGAGGGAAACCCATCTTATTCCTAGACCTTGAGTGGTGCCATGTGTTCCTTTGCTTTGGAAGGGGGTTCCCGTTGAAAATCAGGGAACCATAATGGGAACCCATATGGGCTCAGTGTCACCCGCAAAGTTGATCCGGATTCCACCACCAGAAAGGACACCCCCTCTTGACAATTGGTCAACCGCCCCGGGAGTTGATGAATCCGGGGTCAGAATATGGCCCCTGAAAGACTTTGGCTGATTGACTGGCTTTTGGCTGGTTTTGTCAGGCTTGTTGGCTGGTTGGTTTGGCTGGCTTCTGGCTGGCTTTTGGCTGGTTTTGGCTGGCTCGGACCCCGAAATCCGTTTGCCTGCCCTGTTCCTGTCCTTTCCAATCTCCCCTCTCGGGCAGTTTTGGACAACGTCTGGGGAGCCTGCTGGAAATTTCTAGGCAGTCCAAAACGAAACAAGCCATTTAGAGCTTCGGCTCCCTGGCGATTGCTTCCACAATCTCTATACCCCCGCCTCCCAGGTCCATGAAGAACCAGGCCCCTCAAAGCATGCATGTTGGCCAGTTTCAACAATCAACAGATGGTTTTGGGATGACTCGGAACTCGGTCGAAGGCTTCATCTTGCAAAACAAGAGCTGTTCGACAGGTGGGCTGTGAAGGCTGGATGATTTGGCAGTGGACGCAGACCAGATGAAGCCTGCGCGATGCCATCGTTGAAAGAAACAAGCCGCCGGATGAAGCTTCCAACGGCCGCATTTAGATCCAGCCGCCCCGGCCTTGTCACGGTTCCCAATATGTCCCCTTGAAGGCTTGTTGCAGCATCACCATTCCCGCCAGTTGCCAGTGATCTTCCTGCTTGTTTTTTGTTTTCGCCATAAGGGGGACATCTCCATGGAGCCCCGTGTCGCCGGCTGCGTGGTGTCCGCCGAAAGCAAAGCGCCAAGCGCCTCGCGCCTCGCGCCATGTGCGCTGAAGCGATTTTCAGTCAGCTAATTGGCTGAAGCGCCCGGGCTCGCGACCAGTGCCGCAAGTCGCTGGCCACTCTTGTGCGCAGAGGATCCTCGCCTCAACTCAACTCACTCCAGTTATTTTGCTGTTGAAAAAGAAGCATGCGGGAAGAACTCACTCGAGTTCGCATTTATTGAGACAAACAATGTTAGTGAAAAGCAACAAGCCTACGCTTCTTCCATTTTCTTAATCACATGTTTTATTATTTTCCCCTGTTGGTTTTAACGGGAATCTATCACTATTGGACATATTATTTGTTTCAGGCAGCGAACAACGCAAATAGAGGACTTTGTTTGATCAATTCACTGAAGTGAGATGACGTATGGAACCGGAAAGGGGGCCCCACGTTCTTCGGGACCGGTTTGGGGTGAGGATTGTGGCTGCCTGAATTCAGGAAGTGTTCAGGTATCCCTCCAGAGAGGTGCCGGGACCCATGTGAGCCACGAGTGGCTGGAAAAAGTTTGGGTCCGTTGGTTTGAGCAAGGCGCTTTCTGGCCTTTTAGCCATCCGAGCCATCCGTGTTGTACAACTCCAAGGGTTTCATCCACTGTCAACGGAGCCCGGGGGTTGGGAGCTTGATTTGAAGCCCTGGTTGAGGGGAAATGGGAAGCCGCCCTTACCATCGATACCCGCCAATTGGAGGGAAGCAACTTGACATGCAGAAGGGGGACAACAAATCCACCATTGAGACTCTTTGGAGTTTCATCCTTGGGTGAACCACTCGCTTAACTAAAATCGAACCATGGAACAAAGGCTGTGGCTTAACTGGACGCGGGAGCTCTCTGGAGTGAACCTGAAATTTAGCGCAGAGGCCGGTTGCGCAGGTGTACTTGGCACGAGCTACGGGCTTTGCAAGCCGAAAAGCAAAAAGCGAAGGGCGGCTGCGGTCCAAAGAAAAGGGCAAACCATCTGATGCCACCCGCTCGTTTTTGTTCGACCTCTAACGGATTTTTTTTTTGGGCCCATAGCGCAAAGGGTACAACTTAGGTCGGAAAACTGGTTTTGGGTTGGAGTAGAGCAGCGCTTGGTCATCGTAGTGGCTGCCCAGTGGATGAGGATGGCCGACTTTGCCCTTCCCGCGTGCAGAGAGACAGGCTCCGTAGATGGGACACCCGAAGACTTCAGCTCAGTGGGGATTCCACCCGATTTTTCGGCAAACGAAGTCAACCCACGCAGGGTACGCTTTCACCTGAAATGGTGCCCTGTCCGAATGACAGCTCCCTGCAAGCCCAGTCATTAAGCTCCCTTGTGTGACTTTTTGTGGATGGACGAAATCCTGCACCAGTTGGTAGATAGATGATCCTCGTTTCTCCCAGTATTTCCAGGGCTTCAGCCATCGCAATTGGAGCCGGATTTTGTCCATCCACAGTCTTTGAGGCACAGGCGACCAATGTATCCTACACCAAGTAGACAAAGGACATGTCAGCTTCCACGCATTTGCTTGTTGAGCTCCAAGCACTTTCCAAAGGAAGAATCACAGGTGTGGTTGAAAGGCCCAAGGGATGCAGCTTGGGTCATGCTCAAGCCATGGGAAGCTGCAATGTGCAGAGCTCGCAGTAGAACGCCGCTGCCAAACGCTGTCCAAAATGACACAAGCATTGCCTAGTCGCATTGCGTAGTCGCGTTGCGACGCAATAGAGTTGATGTTTACCCATGATAAAACGCCCAGATTAGAGGGGTGCCCCAGTTTGGAAGCTATCATATTTCAACGGGACCACATTTAGACGGGACGGACCGGGGCAAAACTCGCCGGATCCCGGCGAATCGGCGTTTTGAATTGGATGGCATGGCTGGGGGTGTGGGCCTCCCGCCCCATGTGCCGGGCAACGTGCCTTGGCCTTCCATTCAAAGTGGTTGCACCTATCTGTTGGTTGGAAGGGAGACGTTCCGGAGCTGAGGGTATCTATCCATTTTCTGTTTTAAGCAAGCCTTCCGGAGCTACCAGAAGTCCGGTTAGGGACATGATAGGCAGTCCAAGGCATTTTCATTTGACTGTTATTGGGTTGGATCTTTAGACTTTAACTTTTGGGGAAATAACGGTGTTTTCCACTAAACCCCAAAAAGTTAAACTTTCTGCAGGGGTCAACAGCAATCAAGTTCAAAGCCCAGAACTTCAGTGCTGCCTTCCCCGCCCGTCTTGGAAGCGCTTCGCTGTAAATCAATCGAATCTGGCTCCGCTTTGGGCGCCAATTTCGCTTTCTCAGTTGGCCTGAGTATGTCTCTGTATGGGAACCCTCCAAAATGGAAGGCTGGCTTTCTGTCTCTGTATGGGAACCCTCCAAAATGGAAGGCTGGCTTTCTTTAACGTCCCTTCAAAATGAAGCCTAGAAACAGTACCCTCAAACCGGACACTCCCATTCGCCTTGAGCTGTTAATCGGCTTTTTCCAGGGTGTCTGTATTTAGGCAAAGGCATGTTTGTGTGTTTCCCCATGCCCGAATGTGTTAACTCCAACTATCCACATGCTTTATCACCTTCTCGTGGCTTGCAGATCCGAGCATGGCTTTCCTTATTTTGTGTTTCCCTTTCATTGCACCCTTCACTGTTCTTGGCATGTTTTTTGGTTTTTTAGTTGTTTGGTTCTGTTCATTGTTACTGGGGGTCTGCAAACAAAACGTTTTTAGCTACCATACCAAGAGTAGAGATGCACCTGAAAACGGGTATGATGTCAAGAAGCTCTCGCCCAACCAAGTGTTTTTTCTCACCTTTACTTGAAAAGCAACTAGGAAATGGTACCGGGATCGATCCCACGTGCCTTCCCCGAGCATGTTTGCATTCTCGTACCTTTCCTTGTTCTGTGTTGTAATTTTCCGCGTCTCGCAAGTTCCCGACCAAAACTCCCTCAGCCTTGGATGAATCTGAGTCTGAACATGCTGTGGATGGACAATATGTTGCGCCAGTTGGTAGATGGAAGGCCAGTATTCAAGTCAGCTTTCATTCCGCCCATCTGGTGCCGATCCGCATGGATTTTGTCAGTTCACAGAATTTGGTGAGCCTCACTTGGCCCCAAAGCCGACCTTTGGACCTTGTGGTTTCCCCATGTCCGTATATTGCCCAGAAGGTGAATCTGTTGTTTTCAGCTCTTTGGGGTAAGTGAGGTACCATGTTGGGTTTGACTGAATATGAACATAATCTGAACATTTGTTTTTGGAGCACCCCAGATGTGGCAAGGGAACGGCTCAGGCAATGTTGACCATTTGTTTAATCAGCCGCAGTAAATTTTGCGGGGGTGTTTTTGGGTGTGGGGAATTCCAGGGGCCGCCACCCCGCCCCCCTAAGAATACACTGGAGTTGGTCACCCAGGGGGTCACCATTATCAAGAGGAAGGGGCTCTCTTAAACCACAAGACCGGCCCATCATGTATTTAATGGCCTGCGGCCTGGTTCCGCCGCCCCCACACACCTTAGAATTTCGGCCCGGCATGGGGTCGGCGGATTTTTTGGAGCACCCAGCTGTGGCAAGGGGTCCAGTTTCAGGTGACAATCCTCCCAGGTGCAGGGCTGGCTGCGCGCGGAGCTGCGTGATCTCCAACTGGAGGTTTGGGCCCCGGGCGTCTTGATGGGCTGAGCCGCCGGCATGTTTTTTTTTTTTTTTTTTTCTTCGGGGGGGGGGGGTTATGTCAAAACCAGCGGGTGCCCATGTTTAGCTGGATTGCCATGCGGTTCCTTCGGTTTTAAGCTGGCTTTTGGGTTGGTTTAGTGAGGGGAGGGGGTCCGAAATTGGCCCACTAAGAAGTGATTCACTTTTAGCAGGGGATCGGTTTGGACAGCCTAATTTTCGTTGACGTCTTTCCAGGTTTTCCGGTGGGTGCCATCGTTTTAAGTTGCATTCTTCGGGTTGCATTAAAGAAGCGTTGGTACCCTTTTCACCGTAGCTTGAAAGGACCAGCAGCACATCAACTACACACGGAGATGTTGTTTGTTCAACGATCATGACTTCAAATGTTGGTGTTGAATAAAGTACCCCACAATACGATTATAGTGGGTTGTTTGGAGTGTGGAGGTGTGAAATTTGAGGAGCAGTGCCACACCTTCAAACAAATCTGAACGTGCCCCACGACCACTATGGATCGGCCAATGTACAATGAGCGTGCCCGGGGCATTAAGGTCACTTGCCTCCCAAGGACAACTTTCTTGCCAAGACCAGTTGGTCTTTGGGATTTACGAGGGGAATCAGTCCAGGTTCCAAACCATAAGCCTGTTTATCCATTCAGCCAATAGGCTCTCAGTTGTTGCCACCCTGCCCTCTGGTGGCATCCAGCAAAGGGGAAGCTCCCGTTACGGCGGTCAGCGCGCCGCTACCCGCTACCAAAATGGCTTAGACATGTGTCTCCAGGAGGCCGGGGCAGCCTTCAGCGAAAGCGCCTTCGGCGCTTTCGAGTGGTGGGGCCAGGACTGAGGGAAGACAATTTTTCTTCGAAAGGGACCGGGCCCCTGTCAGGTTCCACGTGAATTGGTGGGAGGGGAATTTCCAGCTACCTGACGTTCACCAGCGGGTGCCCAACTAACCGGCCAGGACGGGGAGTGTTTGCCGCTGCGGGTCGCCCAGAGCAAGGAGCTGGCGGAGAGCGCGGAGTTTTCGATCCGGGCCTCGCCCAAGTGTTTCGCGGCCTACCTGCAGGACATGCAGCCGCTGGCCTGAGACTGGCGCCCCCCCCTTCTCCCCCCCCTCCCGGCCCCCCTTCCCACCCCCCCCTTCCCCCCCCCCCCTTGCCCCTACGCCCCCTTCCCACCCCTCCCCTCCCGGCCCCCCTACCCCCTCTCAAGGTGGACAACGCCCTTGGAGAGTGCCGCGGGATCCGGAGCTGGCCAGTCCTTTCCCTTTCCCTGTAGGACTGCAGTGGGAAATTGCATTTTGTGTTTTCCAGGCTTGAAAAATGCTGGAGAGGGCCAGGATTTATTCACAGGGCGGTTGTGGTGATTCAGGGATCCCAGTCTTGCATGGAGGAGTCTTTACGAGCTTGTCAAACCTTAGTGATTAGTTTCCGGCTAGCCTTTTTTTTTGATTTCTGGAATGGCAGCCCTTGAAACCATGTCTGTACTGTATTTGTTGAGTTTTGGGCCGGAAAGGGACATCATTAAAGAGAGGGAGAGGGGTTCTCGGAGGTGCCAGCAACATATTCACAGGTGTCTTTTGGCCAAACCTTGGCGGCCGTCGGCAGGAAGATCGTTCGTCTTTATTGAGAGTGGTTTTTGTAGTCAGCAGCCGCCATTCAGGATCACCTTGGGTGGGTGATGTTTAAAGGGAAGGTGTGGGTGCATCTTTTGAATGGGATGGTTGTTTCCTTTTAGTTTTCCTTGAACACCACCAAAAACGGGGCAACCCCCCAAAAAGACGCACCGGGTTGCAGTGCCTGAGCTGTTGGAGCTGGGTTGAGCCAGTTTTGAATTGGATTTGGCGGCTCCTTCCCCATTTGAAAGCAAGAGCCGCAATACAATGGTTGGTTCGGTGGGAAACCCTAGTCACAAGAAACAAACCAATCCAAACCAATCCAAAGCACCAACTAAGGTGTACCTGAGCAAGGCTTCTCATTTGTGGAGAGGGGTGAATGCGGGGGGAGGGGGGTTGTCTTCAGCGTTTGCTCCGTTTCTTTCAGCTGGACGCCCGGCCTTGCCCATGAGGTTCCTGCGGATTCACTTGTACGAGGGCCGCTCCAAAGTGGGCCTTTGCGAGGTGAATTTGCACCCGTGGCTGCGGGGGCCGGATGGGGACTACAAGGTTCACGTGGACCGCTACTTTCCAGTGGTTCGCAGCCCTTTGGACCGCATGGGTTGAACTTTCGCCCTGTGGCGGTCAAACATCACAATGTGGACCAGGTGCTGGTGAGGTTTAACTCACTTCCTGAGTTCCTAGACTTTTGTCGTTTTGGGAGAACTATTTTAGTGGCAAAGAAATAGTTCAGCCCTTTTTGGGGCCATTCACTCAGGAAGTGAGTGGCTACCCTGGACAAATGTATGGGCAAACGGTCCTACCCCACGAACCAAGATAGATGACTGGAGGCCCCCCAGGCTGTTTTCCTCTTCTAGGGTCCAGTTCGCCGACTTTTGGCACCCAGGGGTCGCAAGCATATTTCTGTTTGGGATTTCCAGGTTTCCGGATATGTGAAAACTAAGATCCGTTGTTTTGTTTGTTTCTCGGGGATGTTTTGAACATAGGGCCAGGAGGCAGGACTCCCCAACTGCTGTCAAAGGGTTTCTGAAATGACCTTCCTTGGCTGATTTTGGTGCCGACAATAACAATAATAGGTCTGCAGATTTCGGCGCTCCTTGGTTTTGACCTGGGAGTTAACTGAGCTTCCCCATCCTGAAAGTGTTTCGGAGACGGCCCATGAACCCACCGTGAAAAACACGCTTTTGTTGGGGCATCCTACTTTGGTTACACAAGCGTACACCTATCCACTAGTTTTGAACAAAAAGTGGCCAAATAATTAGAACGGGGTTATGGGGTACTCCAAAATTGGTGATCAGTGATCAGAGTAAACAAATATGTGCGCATGTGTATGTGTGTGCAGCTATTTATCGCTTTATTTTGTCATCTGGGCTCTTTGAATCACGCGTAGTCAGGTTGGCAAGGGGCAGTCCTAGGCAAACTCGGTGTGGATGTCCCCCATTTTTAGTTCGGTACAATCTCTTGATTGCTATTGGGTTGGATCTTTAGACTGTAGCTTGTTTGGAAATCAAGGGTTTTCCATTGAACCGTGGTGGTTGGGTAGAACTTTCTTTGTAGCCAGGTGTTCGGCTATGACCTTGGCTGATTTCTTATTGACTTACATGTACAACGCATTTCAACAAGAGGTCTGGTGCAGATGTACGCCCTGATTCTTTGCCATGATTTGTGGGGTTTCCATTCGCTGCAGGATGATTTTAGGTGAGACAATCCCCCCAGTTTTTTTGTGCCGTTGTTCACCCCCGAGGTGCAACCCCGCTTCGGGCCATTTGGGTTTCCTTTTTCCGTTTGAAACCACAAGGGCGCCAATTCATTTGCCCCTTATCCCTTAAAGACAAATCCACGCACCCCGGACCCCAGCCCCAGGTCTTGGCCCCCTATCCACTTGAAAGAACCGAGGCCACGCGGACCGCATGATGCTGGGCCAAGTGCGGGTGTGCCTCTACATGGAGTGGGCGGACTCGGCGGAGCTGAGGTGCAAGAAGGAGGCAGCCGAGCTCGGTTCGATTGTGGGAAAATCTTCAACTGTTTGGCTAAATTTGCGTGCTTTCCACCTGAAAATACGGTACCCTGGCCTCCCCATCGGGGGTAAACCAATTCCACGGGTGGGTTAATTCATCAGCATCGCTCTAGGGTTTGATTCCCCATTCTTTTCAACCATCGTTCTTTTCAAAATCCAACTGTCCGCCTTGCATTTTTGATGGTTTCCTGAAAAGAAAGATCCCTGGAAAGAATGGAATTGAAAGCTTCCCCTAGAACCTCGCTTACCTTTGGAGCTTTCGTTGCGCCAGGCCTTGTCCTCCTTCGAGGCCCACGAGTGGCACGCCCAGCTTTCCGAACGGAAGGCCCAGCCGCAGCCGCAGCCGCAGCCTTCGTCGCGGTCACCGCTGCCCGGCAGATGCCAGCACTGCGGCAGCTTGCCTTGGTGATGGGTTGGATTGGGGCTTTGGAACCCCGACCTCCTCCCCTCCATACGGATAACTACAACCCAATGCCATAAGAGTAAGGGGGGGGTTCTTTGGGGGGTGCTAGGATCTCCAAACACCTTTCCCGCCAACGTCCTCAAAGAATACCTTCAAACACCACCTTTACAAGGATATTGATCCTCTAAGTCAGCTGGTGCTTGGGTGGTGCTTCCAGTTGGCGCCTGTTCGAGCGACCCTGCCCGCAGGTAGCGAGCTGGACTCGGACGCGAGGTTTTGCTGCCACTGCGGGGTGCGGTTTAACCAGCGAAAGGAAATCCCCGTCGCCTCGGATGGGGTCAAGGAGGCGGGTTTGGCTCGGAAGGCGCGGTTGCTTTTACAAGGAGGCCCTTCTTTTGCTCCTGGACCTTTTCTACTTCTCGGGGTAGTGAGAGACACTTTTCGTGTGAACTGTTGGGCCACTCTGCTCCGGAATTGCGTAAGCGTGCCCTTCTCTTTTTATATTTCCCTCCCTCCAACAATCATGAAAGCTGACAAGAGGGTTTTGGAAGACTATTTTCCTTTTGGACAACCCCTTTGTCCACTTCCATGATTGTTGGACAAAGGGTAGTTGGGTTGAAGGGAAGGAAGCTAGAAGGCAAACTGGCACATATCTGCACTAAAACGGGAGATGGAAACAGCCGAATGGGGGTGGCAAAGGAAAAGAAGGTCCAATTCAGACCATTGGGCCAAAACCAAAGAGATGATACTGTGGATGGACGAAATCCGTTTGCACTACCTTGAAACCATGAGAAAACCCATGGGTTCCCTGGTATTTACAGGGGAATCAGCACTCCAGGGCTTCTTAGGTAGTGCAGGATTTTATCCATCCGCAGTATTTCAACCACTAAGCAAGGAACAGTTACCCATGCCTCCCTGAGGTGCCGAGCCTCAAGCCGGAGAAGGAGAAGGAGGACCCAGTTGGGTTTAGGACTCCAAGTCCTTTTGATGCCAAGGGGATGAGGTTTGAATGGGTGTGGCTCAACATTGAAGAGCTGGGGGTACGCAGGTTTTGGTCTTTGGTTCCATTTACCAAGGTGCCAGTATCAGCCAAATGTGCACTTTTTAATGTTTCGACTCGCTTAACCAGGTCCTTTGCTTGAGGATCCTTTGTGTCAAGTTTGGAACTAAACAGTTTGCAGTCCCAATGGGGGATGCAAGGCTCTGCTGAAGTTGGTATTCTGCGGAAAGGGTGATGTTCACAACCCATGGAGGAGGACAGGGGCCTTTACTTGCAGGTGCACTTGTGCGGCATGCGCCTGCGCAGATCCGCGCTGCCAGACCCAGACGGGATGAAGATTGTCTATCGCTTGGGTGTGACGGAACCTTACCTGCTGACTTTGGCAAAAGCTTTACACAGTTTTCTCATGGCCCCTTTATGTCCCTTCCTTTCCTGGTGATTTTACATACGCACCCTCTTTTGGGCCAATTTAAAGTAAGTTTCCTTCGTCTGGGGTCATGTTTCAAGGAGAAACAGGGAGGGCTGTTTGTTGGCATCCTCTCACCAGGAAGTGCACGGAACCCATTTGCAAAACACACGTCTTGCAAAAGCGATCTGTGAACTTCCATGTCGGGAGGGTAGGTTTCTTCAGCTGCAATTTGTGATGGAAAACATATGGTTTTTGACTCATAAGTTCAGTGGAGCTTTTGGCGCAGGCAAGCACCACATGTGCAAAAACCCAACAAGTTGAACTGTTTCTAGCCAGTCAGCCCAGGAGGAAGTTTCGGTCATCGCAGCGAACGGGGAGCGGGCAGATGATCTTTGCTTCCTGCTGGGGTCCGTGAAAGCTTCCACGGCACCCATGTGGCCAAACGCAGGCTCAGCTTTGATCGGCTTCTGTTGGCCTGGGATCTTGGCTCGTGGTAGTTGCCCCTATGGCTTGCGCCAGCCACGACCCCTGGAAAAGTCAAGGGGTTTCAAGACCTGAGGCCACGCTCGGCGGGGTTGGAGGGTTGGGGTTCTACAAATCAGTTGGGAGCCATGGAAATTGCCCTCCTATCCGCCACAAAACGAGAGGTAAAGCTGGAAGAAAAGATCGGAAGGCTCACCAGTCAGCCTTGATTTTGATCTTGATTTGCTAAGGGGCGACCGATTCACTTGAAGAAGAGCCACGTCTTTTCTGTTTTCGCCAGGCTGCATAAACACATCCCGGGCAACGGGTTTCTTCTTGCGGTGGTTTGTTTTCCCTGAAAGGGTTCTGCTCCAAACGGAACCAGTAGAAGCATGAAGCAAAGCTGCAAAACATATCTGGCTTCTTTTTGGGGACGATCAAGCGAGCAGCTACGAGGTCCTTACATGTCCTTGTTTCGGTTATGAGCTTACGGACATCACCTTTGGGGGGCCATTTCAGAACGAATTGAGGCTTCTAGGGGACACATAAAGAGCCCATTATTTGATGCATGCGAGCGGGTCATTGTGATTAGTCCTGAGTTAATGTTTGATTTGCTTTGTTCCGGTTCGGCAGGAGAGGCTATCATTTGTGCACACATCTGCGAGTTGGGCCTATGCGCTCTTGCTCGTTCTTTGTGCAGGCGCTCCCTCGCTGAAGTCACTGCATTTCCACGCTTGGCAGGCGGGTTGAGCGCTTGTTCAACCAGCCGACGCCAAGAATTCAGTGGGCCCACCAAGGGATTCGCAAGACATGACGCACTGTGCGCAGCCTTTCTAGATGTGGCTCTCATTGTTTATGGAGATCTTGCTGTTTGATTTATGTCGGGTTCGCCAAACTGGTTTCATCCGGCCTATCGTGGAGAAATGATGAGAGACCCCAAACCGATCCTTACAATATTCAAGCACTTCTGACCTTTTTATCCACTTAGCTGCCAACTATTCACCGGACAAGGGGGCATGGAGAGGCAGCTGAGAGAGACCTGGCCCCTTAGGTGTCCCCCCCAAAGTGCCGGAGTCGGGACTCACACTCTTCCTTCAAGCCATTTCTCACCTCAACCCACAACCCATCCACCTTTTTGGCTTGCCTGGGTGCTTTTTTTTCGAGGGTTCCTGTTTTGAGCCAAGGATCCACCAGTTTCATTTGTCCCGGTCCTTTCCCGCTGCGACCACGAGCATTTGGTCCAACCCACGCGTAAGCTGCCTCAGGTTTCCTACTCTCACTTGCCCAAAGCAAACCGACCTTTTGACCTTTTAAAGTTTCCCACGTTTGGTCCACGTTTAGTAAAGGTCCCAAAAGATGATCACCTTTTGTTTTTGGGTCCCTAAGGGGCAACTGAGTACTACATGTCCCGCTTCGGCGATGGTTTTCGGATCACCTGTTGGGCCATCCTCGAAATGATCCCAGAAAGGCGAGCCATTTCCTGAGGCCGATCCCTTTCGGCCGCATTTATTTGTTTAGCTATTCATTGAATGTTTTTTCTTCCCGATACTAAAAATAAAACTAGAGGACGATTGGCCCGAAAGCATTTTTCCACAGGCGCTCATCCAGCTGCGGAGACACCTTTTTTTACATCGCTGCGGCGAGCGTGTCTGCGCGCGGCGATGCTCAGTGTGTTGTGCGCAAGTGCTCTGAGCAAGTTGCTCTGCGCAAGTGCTCTGCGCCAGTTGCTCTGCGCAAGCGCTTTGCGCATGTGCTCTGCGCAAGTTGGTCTGTGCAAGTTGCTCTGCGCCTGCTCTGTGCAAGTTGCTCTGCGCAAGTGCTCTGAGCAAGTTGCTCTGCGCAAGGGCTCTGCGCCAGTTGCTTCGTGCAAGCGCTTTGCGCATGTGCTCTGTGCAAGTTGGTCTGTGCAAGTTGCTCTGCGCAAGTGCTTTGTGCAATTGCTCTGTGCAAGTTGCTCTGCGCAAGTTGCTCTGCGCAAGTGACTCTGCGCAAGTTGCTCTGCGCAAGTGCTGCCGGAGCTGCGGGGGTGTGCTCCGCGTACTACGTTTGTACTTAAAAGTTGCGATTCTCCAGCCGGAGCTGCGGGGGTGTGCTCCGCGTACTACGTTTGTACTTAAAAGTTGCGATTTTCCAGCCTGAGCTGCGGGAGCACGCTCCGCATACTACGTCTGTACTTAAAAATTGCGATTTTCCACCCGGAGCTGCAGGAGCACGCTCCGCGTACTACGTTTGTACTTAAAAGTTGCGATTTTCAAGCCGGAGCTGCGGGGGTGTGCTCCGCGTACTACGTTTGCACTTAAAAGTTGCGATTTTCCAGCCTGAGCTGCGGGAGCACGCTCCGCACACTACGTCTGTACTTAAAAGTTACGATTTTCCAGCCGGAGCTGCAGGAGCACGCTCCGCGTACTACGTTTGTGCTTAAAAGCTGCGATTTTCAAGCCGGAGCTGCCGCGGACCAGGGGGGAATCCAACCCGCGACCGCGGGATTGCGAAAGCAGGCGCGCAAACCACGAGACAACTTCCAAAGGCCGCTTCGCGAGCAAGAAAACTGGACGGCGCCACAGCGAGAGCGCTTCGACACGCACAATCTCCGCAGAGGGTTCGCCGAGACTAAGACAAATTCGCACGGCGCCACAGCGAGAGCGCTTCGACGCGCACGATCTCCGCAGAGGGTCGCGCGCGCACCGCAGAAATCGTAAAAAGTCCTCAGTTTTTGAACCTCGACCACGCGAATCTCCGCAGAGGGTCGCGCGCGCATGCTAAAAATCGTAAAAAGTCCCCAGTTTTTGAACCTCGACCACGCGAATCTCCGCAGAGGGTCGCGCGCGCATGCTAAAAATCGTAAAAAGTCCCCAGTTTTTGAACCTCGACCACGCGAATCTCCGCAGAGGGTCGCGCGCGCATGCTAAAAATCGTAAAAAATCCCCAGTTTTTGTGAACCTCGACCACGCGAATCTCCGCAGAGGGTCGCGCGGGCATGCAAAAAATCGTAAAAAGTCCCCAGTTTTTTGACCTCGACCACGCGAATCTCCGCAGAGGGTCGCAATCCCGAGCGACGATCAAACTCCCGCCCCGGCGCCTTAGAAACCTAAACTAACTTACATAGCTGCTAACGCCGAAGCTCTAAGCTCTACCTAAGCTCTAACTTGGCTCTATGTAACTTGGCTCTATGTAACTTGGCTCTATGTAACTTGGCTCTATGTAACTTGGCTCTATGTAACTTGGCTCTATGTAACTTGGCTCTATGTAACTTGGCTCTATGTAACTTGGCTCTATGTAACTTGGCTCTATGTAACTTGTCCAAGGGCTCCGCACGGAAGAACCCTTCGCGATGCTTTCGGGAAAAAAACAAATAACAGAAAAGGTTTAGCTATTTTTTATCGTTTATTTTTTCTTTTGGGTGGGGAGGTTTTCTATGACCGATGAGCACGCGAAGGAGAGTTACCGACACTTCCACCAAATTCCCGGAGACGAGCTTAATCATTTTACGGGAACCACTAGGGCACCAACCGCCAAATGGGCTCCAAGCCAAATGGGCTCCAAGCCAAATCTTGCTGCTCAAAAGGAATGAGTCCGAATGAACTTAGGCTTTGGTCTGACACCACCAGTTTTTGTAAAACTCGGGGTCCCCAGGATTCCCCTTAGAAACCACCAGGGGCTTGTTTTTTTTCTTGGGTGGTTCCCAAGGGATGGTTTACCTCGGGGTCATTCCCACCTTCCGGCAAGACATGGCTCCGAATGGGAGAGTTTCCTCGTGAAGCCGAGGGCTCCAGCTTGGTGGGCCTCTCGACCTTGCAGCTGCCCGAGGCTTCCGATCCTGCGCGCCGCGGCCGCGAGATTTGGGCACGGCACATCGGCGAGGGGGGTGCTCCGAATGGGCGGCCAGCGTCCCTCAAGTTGTTGTTTGTTATATTTGGTTTCCTTTTTGATTCTATTTGGCCCGTATGGTATAGATTATTTATAATTATTATTATTTCTTGTTGTTATTATTAGTATAGTAGTAGTAGTAGTAGTAGTAGTAGTAGTAGTAGTAGTAGTAGTAGTAGTAGTAGTAGTAGTAGTCGTAGTATTATTGTAGTATTTTGCGAGGATGCTGATGGGGCCAGTTTTCCCGGGCAGTGGCAGCCATCACTGCTTGACTTTGCTGAGGGTGTGAGTGTGTGTGTGTGCGCGTGCAAGGTAAGGGCTGGTTTGCGTAATGTTGTTGCAAGGGGCAAAAAAGAGCCGCATTAATTGTTTTGGAAGGGCATCAGGGCCCCGGAATATGTGATTTGCTACTCTGTCCACTAAGGAACCGGTAACCCAAGCATTTACAAAAGATTCGGATGTGCGCATGGTTGCTTCTTGGCCTCTCATTCGACCAAAAGAAACCCAAGAAGCCTTGTGACAAAATTTCACACCCATTTGCCTCTTCCCAGTCACGGAAGTGGACAGGGGTCTTTTCCAGACAACAGTCCTCCTGTCGGCTTCCATAAGCAGTGAAGTTGTGAAGGCCTTCCAATGGTACAACGCCTTGTGAAACGCATCGCAGCTCACCGCAAAGCGAGCTCAGCCATGGCGACAGACAGATCGAACTTGGATGCAGCTGTGACTAATACACTAATACATACCTGGACCTTCCTGCATGCTCAAAATTTATGCCTTTTCGCTACGAATTGCTTTTTGGGGCAATTGCGCGTGTTTTTTGCCTACGGCCTTTTTTTGCTCAATTTGGGTGCTACCCTCAATCTCCCCGAATCTACAGGCAAAAATTCCCGACCAACAGGCGAACATTCCCGACCGCGGCGCAAACAAATATGACCGCCGGTGTGTTTTCGCCCTAAAAGCATTTTTCCACACCAAAGGCCAAAAACACGTTTTTTTGGCCAACGCCTAAAATTTTGGACCTCCAGAAGGTCCAGGTATCTTCCATTTGTCGAAATGCTTTTGTTGCACTTGTTGGTTTTAAAGATGATCTATCACTACTGGAAATGTGTTTATTGTTTCCATGGGGCTTAACGAATGAAAGACGTTGTTTATATTTGTTTATCGAGCGGGATGAGAGTGGTCACATGACGTTGGACATTCGCACATGCATACACATCCATACACACATGCACACATGAATATAACATCTGCATACAAATATACATATATATATGTATGTATATGTATACATATATCTGTGCAATATATTGTACATATATTTAAATGCATAGGCAACACAAACACAAATACATGAGTAAATGTCCTGGACGTGAGGCTTGATGCTTTGTCTAGCTTCCTCCTGAGCCGCGACGTGGAGATCGTGTCGCTGAGCAGTGGGCAAGTCATCGGCTTGTTGCGAGTGGCGCTCTACGCGGCCTCAGCAAAGGCGGCTTTGCACAGGCCCAGCCAGCGCTTTGGCCGCACAACTTGTGTCGAGAATCGATGCTTTCCAGGATTCCAGTTTCCTTACTAAGAAGCAGAAACATGCTCTTTCGAGCCATGCTTTCATCATCTTGTCTCATGCAGAGGGCACTCCTCAATTGCAAAATGCTCAGAGGTCCTGGGTGTAAATATGGCCACGCGAGCCGCACTTCAGGCTGACGTCCTTGCCGGCGCCACTGCCCATCGAAAAGAAACCGCCGGCCTCAGGCGATGGCTCAGGTGCGAGGGCTGGCTGACTTTCTGGGTTTGGCTTTTTACTGCCCGCTGTTGGCAGTCCGGCGAATGCGCCAAGAGGTTTAGTATAACTCATTGGTCTCTTCTATTCGAATCAAGCCCAAGTGAGCTGTTTACACAGGAAACTTCAACTTCTACACGCCCTTGGCATGTATTATTTTGTTGTTGGCGTCTCCGGTTCCCACTTGCTTTCCATTGGTGGCTGAGCAATAAACATGTGTTTTTAACAAAAACACCCTTGCCATTGCTGATGGCATGCCAAGTTGGCGAGGCGTTTGTGCCAAGGTTTTTTCCGGTCTTCACCACAGAAGACTGGATTGAAGGAACTAAGGGGGATGCTATACCAATTCACTATTATAGGACCTGCCTTAGCGCCCTTCTTGGATTGACAGCCTTATGCCAGTTCACACCTGTCAGATCCATTTTTCGTTCAGTACGTGGTTCTTCTTGCCAACAGCGCAGGTGACGAATTGCCGCGCGAGGCCACGCCCAAACTCCGCAAGGCGGAGGACTCGGCTTCGGCTTCGGCCTCGGCGGGATGTCCGGACGCGGACGCCTGTCTCTGGCTGGTGGCCTCCGGGGTTTCGGCGGAGGAAGTGCCTTGGGACTAAAGTTGGGAGTGGCCCAAATGGGCGCGCCGGTTGTTTAAAGGGGACTCCTCCAAATCATGGTTGTGGTTGGGAAACATTTGAACCATTTTTGCTTATTGTGGTTTAGTGGTTGAAATCCTTACAAAACTGCTATTTTTTGTTTCTCCCCTTTCAACGCCAACCAAGAAATGGTGGGCTGGTCCTTTTGTTTGTTTTGGGTGGAGGATGGATGGATGGATGGATGGATGGATGGATGGATGGATGGATGGACGGGTGGATGGGTGGATGGGTGGATGGGTGGATGGGTGGATGGGTGGATGGGTGTATGGATGGATGGGTGGATGGGTGGATGGGTGGGTGGGTGGGTGGGTGGGTGGATGGGTGGGTGGGTGGGTGGATGGGTGGGTGGGTGGGTGGGTGGGTGGGTGGGTGGATGGATGGATGGATGGATGGGTGGGTGGATGGGTGGGTTGGATGTGGATGGAGTGGAAGGGGTCCTCCAAATGGCGCAAATGGTGGGTTGTTTTTTCCCTTTCGGCTTCCCTTTGAACCACCGTCCTCACAAAAAGACAGACTCAACGTGGATGTTTGGTGTCCGTTTCTGGGCTTGCCTTTGAACCCCATGGAACCCCTAAACAAAACGCCATGAAACCCCGAAACAAGCCCAAGGAACCGCCCCCAGCACCTAAAAAGGGTGGGGGGGGTGCTTCTTTTGAAACACCCCGAAGAAGGTCCCCTTGAAAAGACGAGGCCCCCAGTAGGAACCCCCAGTGGGATTGAGGAAATGTCTCCCATATCCTATGAACCATCTCTAATGGCTTGGCTGAAAGAACCACAACATTTATGTCTTTAATTGATTCTCAGTTGACCACAAGCGAATTGACCTTGAGGAAACTAAGGATCCCCCTCCCTCCTTCCGGTTCATTCGACAGACCCTTGAAGACCCCCACTGAGAAGCAGCACGTTGAGTGTCTCGAACTCTTATTGTTTGTTTTTTGCTTCCCTAGCAAAAAGATATGGAAATTCGCCCCTTTTGGACGGCGACGTTTACTTTTACATTTGGGGAAGGCGTGGATGTGGGATGGCTAGTGGCTAGAGCCACCAAAGAAGTTGGAGATGTTTGGAGCCGGGCATTCGAACCAGAACACGAGGAAGTAAAATCGGCATTTGGAAGAACCAAAAGTTGGTGCACCGGGCTGTTCTTATTGGCCCCGCCGCTTTGTCAATGAATGCGTCTCTTCCTTTGGGAGCTTTTGGTCGCCGTAACCCGAGCAAGGTAACTGAGTCAACGTAAGGTAACATCTCACATCCGTGCAATTGACTATAATGAACAAGAATAAGCACCGGTTGAAAGTGGACCAATGGTAAGGTGATCAAACTGTTTGCACTTGTCAGATCTGTGGGAAGGTGGGGGTCCAATGACTTTGTGCATGTTGTCGCAATGTTGAGTCTTTGATAGAACCGGCAGTTTTTTTTTTCCCAGAGTCTCCTGGGGCTTTCAATGGAAGACCCGACCTCTCCACTAGACACCCCTAGTCGGTGTTTGGGCGTCTCAAACCCTGGCTGTTTGAGGGCCCTAAATACATCGGGAGCTGGGTACGAAACACCTGGAAACCCTCCCCTGCCCTGAGGTCCTGCAGGGCGCCGCCGCCGCCACTCCGCCGCTTCGAAGCGGCGGGAGGACGAACTTCGCCGTGCCGCTGGAGGACTTCTGCGCCGCGCTGGCGCGGAAGGCGTGGATCCCAGCGGATCCGAGTCGAGTCGAGTCGATGCGAAAGCCGAGCTTTTTTGGGGTTCCCTTTGTTTTCCACGAACCAGGCAAACAAAATACACTTTTTGCTGGGGTCCCAATTCCAGCCAAGGAGAGAACTGGGTGGAAACAACTTGGTTTTGGGATGTTTTGGGTCCCCCAGCTGGAGCTGGGTGCCCTTTCTCTACCGATTCCTTTTTGGTTGGGAGGGGTTTTGTACTAAATTTCGACTTCCATTTTGGTTGGGAGGGTTCCCTTACTAAAGAAGACTACGGAAAACATGGGGTACCAACTTATTCTAACCTCCCTACTGGAGGACCTAGGGGTGGTATGGCTTGTGGTTGGTGTACTTGCATTTGGCTTGGGGCATCCAAGCGTACCCCTAGGAGGTCAGAGAATACAAATGGTTTGTCTGCTGAAATCAAACATTTTTTATGGGATCCCCAGCATGTCCGAAACCGGACGGTGGATGATAGTAGACGACACTTTCCAAAACCTGGAATATGGAATTTTGTTGATGACCCGCACCGCGCGTAAGCAGATGCGGACCAGTCCATGTTTGCCCAGGAACGGCAAACAAAAACCCCATGAAGGAAACCCTGCGAGCCTGTATCGCGCAAGAAAAACAGGAGAGCGCAACGGGGAACAGGGGTGTCAGAATCAGCTGGCATTCACGCGCTGCCGTGGCAATCCAAACACCGCCAGCAGCGGCCACCAGCGCAAAAATTCGGAAGACGCAGTGCTCAAGGTGAGGCTAGCCAAGTGCCTCAATTCCAATGCTTAAGAGAATGCTGTCCAGCACATTTAGTCCAGCAGTGACCGTAGCCATGTCACTGGGCTTCAGAAAAGGCCTCGCTTCAAAGCAGAGGCAGGTCTCAAAACTGCAGCTCCAAGCAGCTCATCCATCGCTGGGCACGTGTCCGTACCTGTGCAGAGTATTACCAAGCCGCGGGTCCTGTCGGTCCAACGGGGTGCCTCTAGCCAAAAAGGAACCATGGCTTATGCAGTCAGCTGTGGCAACCTGCGTATCATAGACCAGACTTCCGACCCTGCGGATGAAGAACTTCAACTGATCCAGCATTCGGTTTGCATGGGGCCAGCCAGAATGAGCGCCAGCCAAAACCTGCCAAAACCTGTGCTGGAACCACCTCCACATGACATGTGCCTCTGTGACAGAGAAGCATCCATGCTTGTCCCGATTGTCCATGACTAGCGACGTCATGGCACCGCGTACATTTTTGCTTGTTGTGGTTTAGTGGTTGAAATCCCCACTTAATTTAACTGGTAAAATGGTAATTTGTTGCTCCCCTTTTTGTCAACCAAGAATTCCTGGACCTACAGCATAGCTCATTGAACCCCTGGGCCGCTGAGCTCGGTTTCCTTGGATCCGGGAGAGGCGCATGGGTGAGCAAACAAGGAGGCGTGGAGGTTGCCAATGACTCGCCAATGTGGTGTGTTTTTTTCAGACGGAACCAAACAGGAACCCAAACATGTTGAGTGATCTTTGGGTGTTGTCAGTGGTTTAAGTTTCCTTGTCCTACTTGCACACCCAATGGGGCATACTGCATACTTGTTCTACCTATATTCCTTAGCTTTGGCCATGGATTTTCGGGCCCTGGATGTAACATAGGAGGTTTCCATGGTAAGTACCTAGATGACGTTCTGCCCAGTATGTGTTTGTTTGGGAAGATGCCCGTGTTGGAGTGGTTTTGCAGGTATTTCGAGAACATCGATCGGTAGGTGTGACTTCCTGGGTTGAATTTTGGCAATGAGCATTTGCCCTCTAAGATGGAGGACCCTCCTACTGTCACATTCATGAAACTGCACGTTCGGCGCCGAATAACGACGATATTCCGGGAAGGGATTTTCTTGCACTTTCATGTTGCAAGGCCTTACATGTTTCATGCCCTTCGAGTTGGATTACCGAACATGCTGTCAAGCTGGAGTCATCACCTTGCAGTTCTGCACCTTTTGGGTGCCGCGCCCGGCTTGCTTGAATGTTGGAGCTGCTCTGTAGATTACGGTCACCATATGGCTATTAATTTTAACGTGTGGTGGACATAAATCCCCACCTAAATGATGTCCACCTCATTAGAAATCACACCCATATCTGAGTCAACGGCTTGGAGCACTCGCCGAACGGATGCCATGGCGAGGGAGATGACGGTGCGACAGCTGTCTGGGGAGGAAGACTCATTCGTAGTGTCCACCCACACGACCATCCGTGAATTCAAGAGGCAGCTGCATGCGTGGCTGCCCTGCGAAGATGAATCCAAACGCAACATGAGCTCGGTGGAGGTGGTTGTTGGAGACAAGCCCCTATTGAACAAAGAGGAGCCAGTGTTAGAGGCTGTTCCAGGTACAGAAGTTCTGGCTTTCCTCAGCATCCAGCCGGTAGTGTGCTCAAGATTCCAAGCCTCCGGCCGCAAGGTGGAAGATTTGTTAGTGGTGGAAATTCCCAACTCCGTGACTGGGATTGGAGATCATGCCTTCGAAGACTGCAGCTCATTGGCAAGCATTAGCATTCCCAACTCCGTGACTAACATCGGATCTGGTGCCTTTCAAGGCTGCAGCTCATTGGCAAGCGTTGGCATTCCCAACTCCGTGACCTGGATAGGAGATTGTGCCTTCAAAGGCTGCAGCTCATTGGCAAGCGTGACCATTCCCAACTCCGTGATTTTGATTGGAAATCGTGCCTTCGCGGGCTGCAGCTCATTGGCAAGTGTGACCATGCCCGACTCTGTCACTCAGATAGGATTTGGTGCCTTTGAAGATTGCAGCTCACTGGCAAGCGTGACCATGCCCGACTCCGTCCCTCAGATAGGACGTTCTGCCTTTAAAGGCTGCAGCTCACTGGTAAGCGTTAGCATTCCCAACTCCGTGACTAATATTGGATTTGGTGCCTTTGAAGGCTGCAGCTCATTGGCAAGCGTTAGCATTCCCCATTCTGTGACCGGGATTGGAGATTTTGCATTCAATTGCTGCAGCTCATTGGCACACGTTGCCATGCCCGACTCCGTCACTGAGATAGGATACGGTGCCTTTGAAGGCTGCAGCTCACTGGCAAGCGTTCGCATTCCCAACTCCGTGACTAATATCGGATTTGGTGCCTTTGAAGGCTGCAGCTCATTGGCAAGCGTTAGCATTCCCAATTCCGTGACCGAGATTGGAGATTTTGCATTCAATTGCTGCAGCTCACTGGCAAGCGTGACCATGCCCGACTCCGTCACTGAGATCGGACGTTCCGCCTTCAACGGCTGCAGCTCATTGTCAAACGTTAACATTCCCAACTCCGTGACTTATATCGGAGAACGAGCCTTTCAAGGCTGCATCTTCCTTTTGGAGTCAGATGGGACATGAAGACTTTTGTAGCTTCGAGTGTGGCGAGTTGGATTCGGCTGAATCGTGTTTTCCGGCAATGTTGCTGTGGCTCAAAATTGGGTTTCCCCCAACTCCCAGTTTGTAGTTGAGAACAACATGGCGCGACCTCTAGGTTTATGACAACGTCTTGCAGCGCAAGCATTTGAACTTGGCATGCAAAAGCTTTGACTTGAGCTCCAAACGAGGGCTCGCATGATGTTGGCGCCGGTTTGGTGAAAGAAAATCGCCGTACTGGTACTGGTACTCCTTTGCCATTGTCGAAAGCACATCAAAAAGGGGAAAGAAAGGGACAAGTTTATCGCGCCCAAGTCTCTTTCTTCTCCGAGAGGGAACCACGGCAATCAGATCTGGATCCAAGTTAAAGCCCGGTTTAGACACCACCAAAGCAAGGGCCACTCGCTGAGGCTTTCTCCCTGCCCCTCTCCTTCCTTGACTGCTGTTGGTTGGATCTTTGGTTGGTGGAATTCAAGTTGGGTTTTCCACTAACCCCCCCCAAATAGAAGTCAAACTTTGCCGGGGGGTCAACAGCAACCAACTCAAAATAATGGGGGATATGGAAAAAGCACCAGGGATGCGAAAAAGCGGGGAAAAGGTAGGGCTTGTGACCAAGCACCAGTAAAGTCAACCATTGGCCGTTCTTTTTGGGGCAAGGAACCCTAGGGCTTAAGGGTGTCATTGGGGTCCCTCATGGACACATGTTTCAATTTGCTTGTGGTAAGTTGAGTTGTTATTCCACAGGGCTGTGGGGAATGGAACCCACTTCTGTGATACAACAGAAAGGGCTTCCCAAAGACTATTTTGTGCATATAAGGGGGGATGCCCTTGTATCACAGAAGTGGGGAGAAACCCCTTGATCCCACAACCCTGTTATTCCATGTTAGTTTTAGAGGGAAATGACAATGACAAAACAAGTAGTGGGTTTATTCCAAACCGGTAGATATGCACAGGCTCCTGGTATTTCCCTGCTTGGTACATTGCTCATTTGTCCCGGTCTTTTGACGTGTTGGTTTCCCCTGTTTGGTGGACTTATTCCTGGGGCCCTGCAACCGCCTTGGCCAGAGGGGAACCTTAGGACATCCCTCCCCTTTGACTGCCCAGGGCAAAATTTATAACGTTACAGCTGGTATTGGGTTGAAAAGCTGATCGTTTTGCGGGTCACATTATGTTGTGGCAACCCCACGGATGGAACTTTCATTTGTAGGTTTCATTGAGTTCGGCGAGTCTGGTGCATATGTTTGTTCACATCCCGTACCAGGCGTCGTAGAATTCCAAGCCCGCCCCTTCCAGGACACTGCTTCTATTCTGGGGGCTTGGCGTGCGCCTGATCACCACCACGCTCTGTTGTTTAGACATGAGCTTATTGGAAGTCCCCCTTGTTCCCCTCTCTGGTGCTCAGCAGGGAATAAGAACTGGAATGACCCATCCTTTTTCGGCACACCCTTTCTTTCATTCCCAACACCCGGGCCCGGGCATTCCCTGAGTCGTTGCAAGTTTTGCCCCAAAATGGTGTCGAATGGTTGTGGCACCCTTCTGATTCCGTGATACCCAAATTGGCAACGTCTATGTCTACTCTGCCACTTCTGGGTCTTTTGAACCAAAGCCCCGTTCCCCAAACCTAGGCTTTGCCTGGGTTGCTTAATAAAATATTCAATCCTTTTAGGAAAACCACCAGGAAAGCCTGGATTCCTTTAGTCTCTTTCTTTGTAGTGGTTTTCCTTGTGAGGCACTCCCATTTCGACTAAGGCAGAACAAACACTACACATTTACTAGGTGGAGGTTGATCAAAAGGCCCTCTACATGGAATGACCATTGGGGAAACCCACTAAAAAGAGGAGATTTCCATATGGGTGTGGCTCAAACTTAAACAGGAGGGGTTACGCAGGTTTTGGTCCACGTTTCCTCTAACCAGGGTTCCATTTTGGGTACCGGGTTTTTGAGCCACAGCCATATATGTCAATTTATGTCCCATTAAATGGGAAAAGCTGGCCATGGTCATTGGGCCAAGATTGATCCAGGTGATCGTCTCCCCTTTGAGTGATCCACCCCCAGGTGATCGTCTCCCCTTCCCCCGCCTGAGCCCCGCAGGTGCCGGAGCTCACGTCCCAGCAGGCCCTGCAGCTGGCGCAGCAGGCCATGGCAGGCCCCGGGGAGTCCAAGGTGAGCGGCGACCTCTGGCGGGGCCTTCTCCGGGAGCTCTCCGCGCGCGTCGGCGCAGCACTGGACTTGTTGCAGGACCGCGGGGAGAAAGGCTTCGGGGGAAAACAAAAAACAAAATCGGAGTTGACCCAAAAAAACACGTCGCCCGGAGTTGACGTGTTTTTTTAGAGCATCGCACCATGGTTCCTTCTTTTTTTACGTCACCCACCAGAACAACACCCACTTTGAATTGGCACAAGGAGTGATGTTTCAAACCTCCCTTCAAGAGGAATAATCACAGAGAACCCAGTTGGTTTCCTGGAAAGCCCTTGCCCCCTAAGTACGGATACCCCTCCCAGTTTCAGGGAAGGTTTAGATGGTCCTGGAAAAAGAACCAATAGGGTGCATTTGGGTGTGTTGGTACCCTATCTTGGGGGTTGGTTTAAAGGGAAACCAAAGGAAAACTACCCTTTTTGTGAGTGCCGCTATTTTAAGACAAACCCATGTGTTAGGGGACATGCTTCGGTGGTTCGGACAGGTCATGACAGCATGTGAGAGTGTAGTGACAACAAGGCCCCTTCGTGAAAAGCCTCTTTGACACTCCCTGCATTTTGCGGTTTCTGTTGTAGACGTTAGACATGACCCTCTTGGCCTTAAGAGAGGGTCTGCAGACAGGGAAGTTTATGGCTGTTCCCAAACAGCTTGGCCTATTCGCAGCCGCGCCAAGTTTGTCGCCACCCCTTGTATCTTCCTTTAACCCTACATTCATTCCCAACACAACCTTCCGGTTCGCATCTGAGCGCCATGCAAGATGAAGGGAATTGTTTTTTCTTTGTTTGTCTTTGGCGTGGACCGAGGAGGGCATCGGTGGGGAAGAGCTGGGCTGGTTCGCCGAGCAGCTGACCGCTTTGGGCCGGAAGCGTGTACAGAAGTCAGAGCTGGCCGCCTTGGTGGGGCAGAAGGCTGGTCGATAGCAAATGGGATGCAGAGTCCACGCTGTGTGCTCCAGTTGCTTAAGACTGTTTTTTTTTGTAAATCCCTTGTTGGTTTTAAAAGGACATCATCACTACTGGAAATATGATTGTTTTTTCCTGGGGCCTTAGCCAAATGGAAGTTGTCCTATTTGTTGGTCGCTTCCCCCACCAAAAACGTGGTGACCCCCACGGACACATGCGATTACGGCTAAAATGGGAGTAAACTTAGGATAGCCAGCGCCGGGCAGCTGGATGTGGAGAAACCGGCGTTCGGTTGCTACGTTGAGTTTTTTTCTTGGGGGTCCTTGAATTCAAATGTGTTGCCTATAGCTGCTGCGGATGGTCGCGAAATGCATTTCGCGGCACCTCAGAAACCATATGGTTGACACTCTTGTTGGTATTTATAGGGGAGTCATCATTCCAGGGCTTCTTAGGTGGTGCGCAATGCATTTCACCCATGCATGTGCAGGTTTCTACTTATCATAGTTCAGGGGTCCCTATATTTCCCCTTTTGGTGGTTTTAAACATCACCTTTTTGGCCCATGAAATATAGGGAGCCCTGTAGTTGTGGCAGCGCAAACAACTTTGCCCACTCAGGCAAAGGAGTCCTGCCTGGCAACCTGGGAGGGACATACCCCGAAAAGGGTCCAGTGGGGCTACCACTGACTGCTTGCAGTCACAAGAGCTATGGGATATGGCAGGGGGTGGCCCCTAGAATTCTAATTATGGTTCCGGTTTCCTTTTTTTTATGAGGAACACTAGATAAATTCAATTGGGGGACTCCCCGCCCCGCTCGAAGGGATCGGGAAAGGCGGTCTTAAGACAAGCTTTCAGGAGTGGCCCTACTGGATCCCCTTGAAAGTGAATCCGATCTCCCACTTCGGTGTTGCAAAAACGGGTTGATGGCGATGTGATATTCTTGTTGCTGCCTAACAGTGATCATGACTGATGAATTATGTATTTTCCTTCACTGTTCTTGGCAAGTTGTTTTTGTTTGGTAATTTTTAGTAGGGAGCTGTCAAAAACATTTTTGTTTGCAACCATGCCAAGCAAGGGTTGTGAAGTTTCCAGTAGAAACTGAGCAACAGGACATTGATCTCTAGTGTGAACCCCGCTAGCCTTGTTGTATGTTGGCCTTTGCCCCATTCCAGAACCACCCCCAACGTTTCTGCTTGCATCGGTGACCACCATAAGGTTCCCCCAGGAATTTGCTGGTCAACAACGGGTTGTGTGGTTTCGGTGCTGGTTGACCCCACCCGACCAAACATAGGGGTCCCTTGGTGCAGTAGTGCCATTTCAACACCTTGTGGGAAACACAAATCCCTTACGAAGAGGATTCCTGCTTGGGGGAACATTACAATCCTGGCTTGATGTGGAATCATGTTTTGCAGAGGAACCCGTCCAGATGCATGATTTGGCTTATTCATGCGGAATAAGCGTTGCCTCTCATATTCCAAGTTTATAGTGACCCTGATCAGAAAAGGAATCTACCCTCATTTAGCCGCCGGCCTAATCGGCCACCCAAGTTTCCAGTGACCATGCGAAAAAGAACAAAAACACCTCAGTTCGCCCCTGGGTTTCTTCGGGGGCAGCTTCCGCCCCGGTGAGGCGCTTCCGCGCTGGGACCTCCTGGACGAGGTGCTGCGCTTGTTGGGCGCCTCCGCCTCGCTCCCCGCGGCGCCGTTGGCGCGCCTCGCCGCGCGCCGCGCCGAGGACTTCTGGCGCAGCCGGGCCGCAGCGGCCGAGGCGCCGGAGGCGGAGGAGGCGGAGGAGGCGGAGGAGGAGTGCCAAGGCCGCGCCTCGGCAAGCCGAAGCCGACCTTTTTAAGACTCACTCCAAAAAGTTTGAGTTGTCCGTCGGGTCACTTTCGAGTGACTATTTTTGGGGTTGGTTGCCATTTGAGTGGTCAAACAGTTTGGGGACCTGTTGTTTTGGACACGCAGAAGTGAGCTTCTGAGGTCAACCTCGATTCGATTTTCCGGACTGGGGTGGTTTGAATCAAGTCATTGAAGGATTCGTGTGGTCCTTCGGATTGATCCGAAGCTGGCATTTATCTGTCGGCTTCCCTGGCATGCCCATTTGCAGTCAAGGTCCCGAAAACCTGACCTGTTATTTCCAGATTCTGGCAGGTGAGGGGTTGGCGGAAAAAGGAAATGACCTACAGTGTTGCCTTTTTCTTTTTGGTTCTGTCGTGATTGTGCTTTGTTTGTGTTTTTTTTTGGTGGGGGCACAAAGGCCACTGGAGGTCTGGGGAAAGTAGCACAGCATGGGTCTATTCTCTGTTGCCCAGTAGTGCCTTTCTTTTATCCTTTTTTAAGGGGAAGGGTTTCCCTTTAAACTCAACCAACAAAAAACAGATGCCCTTTTTCGCTCATGGCCACTGGGCATCTGAGTATTTAGTTTGTTTCTGCTTTTCCATTTTTTTGGTTGGGGTGAAATGAGACCTTTTCGGGTCCCCGGCCTCCAAGTCAAGAGAGGTACACACGTGGATTCTCCTGCTACGCAGCTGATCTCCGGCCTCCTGTGCTTGATCACTGCGGGAGAGCTGGAAGTTGAGGAGCCTTGTGGGGCCTGTGATACCCATGCTCAGTTGTTCAAAGCCGACCTTTTGACCTTTTGGTTTTCCAATTTTGGTCCATTTTTAGTCATGGCCCCAAAAGGTTAACCTTTTAGTTCCAGGTCCTTTGGGCAACTGAGCATGGCTAAGACGTATGGCACAACGTAGGTGCGTGCTGGTCACGTCGGAAGACTCCCAGAGGTGCCTTTTCGAGGGGAGTTCCTCCCCGTGTGTCCTTTTTTCACGGATCAAGGTAACCTACGCCCCACGGCCCGCCAGGGACCCCCCAGCGATCGCCTTGAAGCCGTAGGGCCTTTGTTTCCATGATACCCCGGAAGGGCCAGCAGAGTCACAGGGACAAGCCTAACCAAAGCAAGTCTAGTTTGTTCGGCAAGTCGGTTTTCGTCAGAACAGGGAACTCATTTGCTTAACGTGTCTTCTTTTGGGTTTTCCTGTCGGGTACACCCAAAAAAAGAACGGCATGTCCAAGGAGGTGGTGAAGCAGCTAGATGCCGCAGCGCTGGAGGTGTCTGTTTCTTGGCCGCAGCCCAGAAGCTTTTGCTCAACTGAGTGTTGTAAATACTGTGGATGGTTGCCGAATCCATTTCGCACCTAAGAAACCATGGAAATGAAACTGCAAGGTTTGCTATTTGCGTTGGGGAATCAACTAATTTCAGTGTTTCTGAACGGTGGTGCGAAATGGATTTCGTCCCTCCACAGTAGGACACCAGTGCTCTGGGCAAGTGAGTATGCTGAGACCTCCAGTTCGACTCATTCGAAGGTTGGAAGTGAGGGTTTCACGACTTTGAAAAATCAATCGCTGCCAGTCAGGAGTCCCCCAACCCCTTGATCTCAAGGGCTCTTTTCCTGGTGAGGCTCTGAACCACCCTTTGGTCTCGAGGCCCTTCCCCACATCTACATGGCTGGCGGCTTCCACATGACTCTCCTTAAGGCCTTTGGGGTTTGGATTGGTTTCGGATAAGCCCCGGTTCTTGAGGCGAACGGGAGGCTACCGCTGCGAAGCTGCCGGAAACACCCGGCAAAACTGGATGCTGGAAACACCCGGCCTCCCTTTTCTCGGTTCAGAGCCGACCTGTCGGACCTTTGGGTTTTCCCTTTTCAGTCTCTTTCTGGCAGTCCCAAAAGGTGAACCTGTTCTTTCCCTTTGAAGGCAAGTGAGTTTTTAGGTGTCCTTTGGTGGTTGGCTATGGTGGCTCCCACTCCCACCAAGCCCACCCCAGCGGGCTGAACAAGCGGAAAACCGCGACGAGCCGACGGGCCGAGGAGGCCCAGCCTCGGCTGTGGTGTGCCTCAGACGATGTCAGCCTGGCCCGGATCTTGGAGGATTCCAACAGCGTGGGCTGTGTGTTGCGGGCCTGGCAGGCGGGTCTGGGGTAGGGGGTAGGAAACTGGAAGGCTCTGGGGCTGTTTTTGTTTTTCCTCATTTCCTCGTTTTTTGTTGTTGAAGGGGAACCGAAAAAGGGATTCATCAGTTAGGCTTCTGTTTTGTTTTTTTTGTTTTTTGGAGGGGGGGGGGGGTAATTACTTGCGCACATGAAGGGAATGATGCCATTTGCTTTGACCAAAGTGTATGTTTGCTGGCATGCATGGCCGAAGTCGTTGCAAAACCCACACTCCTGTTTGTCTTACCGTAGGTGGAGCGTGTAGCTCGGCTTGCTTTCAACCATGAATTCCAGAAACACGACGTTGCTCAGCTAACCCTCAGTTCACGGCCTTCCTCAAGCACGCAGATTTGTTTCAGGAACCGCCCTTTTCCCTGTCACGGTCGTTTTTGCGATGTCAAGTTCAATTGCAGGAGTCAACTTGCCCTTTGAAACGCACAGGGGAAATATCACCTTCTGCGCTCTTTCCCAGCGCTTGTTCGCTTCTGACAGATCAATTGCCAAGGGTCCAACAATTGTCAACGGTTTTCTTTGCTTTGGGCAAGAAACATCAGCTAAAGCGGCTAAAGCTAGTCGAATCGGAGCAACCCCTTCTAAGCCTTTAAGTCTTTGGTAATACCTGGCAAGCCTCTTTTCCACGTGAACCGTACACAAGGCAAATTTGGGGGAGAAATGCACCCCCCCCCAAAAAAAAAAACAAAACAAACAAAAAACAAAGAAGAAAAGAAAAAAGCAGGAGGGTAAAGTCTCCCCCCCCCCCAAAAAAAAGACAAATGAAAAAAGCCAACCGCAAAAGTCAGCCGCAATCCACCCCAAATCAACTGCTAAGCCTTCGGAGGAGGCGGGCTTTGGGGAAAACATGTGGGTTCCAAGTTCAGCCAGAAACCCTAGCCTCCCCTCCCTGCGTTTCCTTTTCCGATACCCCCACTGGGCCCTTTGGAGCAACCTGCTCTCACCGGAGGGCCCAAGGAAAACACGTTCAACGTTCGGCATCTCACGTTGCCCGCTAAAGTAGGTGACAAGATGATAAATCCATGTGCGTTTAAATGAATAGGTTTCTTATTCTCCGTCGGAGTCAAGTTCACCATTTTGTGGTTCCCCAAACAAGAGCATTCAATTGGGGCAAACAACTCTGAGAAAAGGCGATTGATCTTTGGCACCAGAGATTTTCGCAGAGGCTCCCTGACGGCCCTAACCACCAATTCGGCCCCAAACCACTTTAAAGGGATCGGTTGTTTCCGTTGTTTTTTTCTTTCTTTAAACAACCGAAAAAAACATATAATGAAACATGTTTGTTTTTGTTAATGTTGACCTCGGATTAATAAACCCCGGTTTATTAATATGGGGGTGTTCCCTCCAAATGTGATAAATCCCCACTAACACCGGGGACACCCCCATATTAATAAACCGGGGTTTATTAAGCCGGGGTCAACATTAACGGGTTTCCCGTTGTTTGTTTTCTTTAAAAAACCGAAAACACATAATTATAATGATGTTTTTTTGCAGGCGCTGCGTTTGCCCACCAGCTCCTCAGCCGCGGTGGGCGCCCTACGACGCCTGGGCACCGTGGAGAAGAACCGCCTGCGGGTGCGGCACCTCGCCGACGAGCGACTCGGCAAGGGGGGAGAGGGGAGTGCGACACCGTGGCTTGGTAGTGCCCTTCTCTCCCCTTTTTTGGTTGGGAGGGTTTCCCTACGAAAATAGACTACAGAAAAAGAGTTGGTACCCTTATTCTAACCTCTCAAATCTGGAGGACCTAGCCCCAATGGTGGATTTCCCACGCATGTCCTGGTCGATTCTTATGTAGCTAAGAGTTGGGTATGCTACCCTCCTAACAACAAACCTGTAGAACCAAACAGGGGTCCCCTCAAAAAGGACATGGTCTTCTCTGACCCCTGTGCAGGTTCTCCGTTCGATTTTGTAGATTGTTCCTTGGGTTGAAATCAACAGGAAAATCCATTCTGGGGGTCCAAATTATTGTTTTGACAAGACATACAACCAACTGGGGTAAGGACAAGTGTTTTTTGTTTACAACCAACTGAACAACCAAATGGAGTAACTGATTGGGACGCCAGCTGGTTGCCACGTGTGGCTCGCTCCCAGGCAGGGCGGCCGACCAAGCGCCCGCGTCTTTCTGGCGCTGCTGGCGGTGGGGCTGGGCCCGCAGCAGCTGGGCTCCCGGCTACGAACCTTCTGCGCGACGGCGGGCGCGGGCGCTGGCAACGAGGCGAGTTTGGTCGGCTGAGGATGGGCTGATGAGGGCTCGCTTCCCGAGTCTTCCCAAATGTGCTGAAAAGAGTATGTTTTCTTTTCCGCTGTTGGTTTTGAAGGGAATCTATCACTATCATTTTATCATATTTTTTTCACGGGGCTTAAGCAAATGGAAGGAGTTCATGTGGACTTGATCGTCACTTTTTGGTGATCGAGTTTGCTTCAAGAGTTTCCACGTCTTGGCTCGAGATGCATGTAGTGAAATTCGACGGGACATCAACTTGTTTTTCGCGGGCATTCGGCAAATGTCTTGTAGAATTTCCCCTCTTTTGCGGGTTTCTGAGAGGATCACCCTTCCTCCCACCATGGCATTTGTGGGGGAGGTGCCTGGAAGATGATTTTTCGCTTGAAGGGAACCCCGTGGGAATTTGAACCCTGGCACCCAAATGGGGAAGGCCCCTTAACGTCCAAGGGCAAAAAGCCAAACCACCAATTTGGGGTAAAGTGACAAGTTACTTGTCCTTCATGGTTGTTGTTGGGAACCATTTTACGTTTTTGCTTATTATGGTTTAGTGGTTGAAATCCAAATCCACTGAACTGCTAAAAGTTGAGAAGTTTTGCTCCCCAAACCCAACGTCAACCAAGCGGAGGTGCACTTGGACCAGTTCTCCAGCTGCCTGCAGCAGGCTGGTGTCGCCATGGCCTGGGCCGACGTGCTGAACCTGGGCCGCGGCTACGCGACCCAACATGGGCTGCTGGATGTGGGCGCCTTCTGCAAAGACTTCCAGGTAGGGCACCCAGGTACCGGGGGCGGGGGGAAGGGGGGGGGGAGGGAGGGGGGGGGGAGGGAGGGGGGGAGGGAGGGGGGGAGGGAGGGGGGGAGGAAGTTCTCTCACTTGCTGGTTGGGAGGGAATGAGAAACCCGAATAACCCCGAGATAAACCATCCAACTAGGTGGTTCCCCTTTTGCTTCATTCAACGGGCGGAGGGAAAAGGGGGGTCCGGAAAAATATCCTTGGTTCGATAGGCAGGGAGGGAGAAATGGAATGAGCCTGAGTCCCATTTTCCTCCTTTTGTGTTTTGTGAATTCCCAAAAAAAACAAAGTGCGGTCCGATTCTTGCTTGACCAGGGTCCCTGAACAAGTGATGTTAGATGTTCCAAGCTGTTTAGTGGCACCCATCCTTTTTCACCTTTGTTTTTCAAAGGTGGGTTTCCCAATACAAACCTACAAATGGTCCCCCAAACACGGTGTGGCGAGTGTCACTGAACGACTGACTTTTAGGGTAGGCGAAGTGTGGGCACCCAAGATTTGGGCCAAGGCGTCCCGCTTCAAACAGACTTTCAGGCATGCGCCCTTTGCAAGGGCGGGGGCAAAACTTGCCAACTTTGTTGCTTATGGTTGTTCAGCAAAAAGCCGAAAAGGGGATAGACATTTGGATGGTCCAGTGCAGACCAGGGCTTCGGGTTGTTCGGGGTTGAGGAACTAAGTTTCTTCTGGGTGAGGCATATTCAGAATGCTCCAGACAGCAATCCTCAACCGGGTGTGGCGCCACAGTTTTGTTTTTGTTTTGTTTTTGGGGGGGGGGAGGTAGAAAGCGTTTTGGTTGGAGGCGCTTTTTGGAGTTTCCCTGTAGCTGTCCCCCTTATTCGGTTTTCGTTTATGTCTTTTGACCTCCGATCCAGAATCCAGAAACACATTTGCACCGTACCTTGGAAAGGGGACCCGGTTTTTCCAACCACGAAGGCGGTTTTCGACCTTTTCACCTTTTGGGGGACTGGATTCGTGAATCTTTTGTACGTTCTCCATATACCAACCCTTAAGGGGGGGGGGGGGCGGGCGGAACCACTGGAGTTCTGTTCATGGCACCGTTCTTCACATTGATTTCCCCCCCCAACTTAGTTTGGCGCTGGAAAAACCGGGTCCCCGATTCACTCCTACATCGAATCATTACATTTTTGGTTGTACCATGGCCCCTATGGTCACATGCAAGGGTCGTCATGAACAAGGGGCCTCTATATGGGGTTCTGTTCATGGCACCGTTCTTCGCATTGATTTCCCCCCCCCCCCCCCAACTTTAATTTCGCGCTGGCAAAACCGGCTCCCCCTTGGAAACGGGGGGCGTCTACGGGGGCCTCTCGCGCTTCCGCGTTCGCTAGGCCTGGCTGGCGCAGCGAAGCGCCCAGTGGCCCACAGGCACCGAAGGCGAAGCGGGTTTCGGAGTTGGGTCCAAGGCGATGGAAAACGCGAATCGGCGAATTGATCTTTCGGGTTTTCCCCAGTTTGGCCCATTTTTCGTCATGGCCCCAAAAGGTTACAGTAGCCTCGTATTTATCTTTGACCTCTTATTTTTTGATCTTGTGTTCTTCGATTTGAATCTTTACGTTCGTTTTTTTTTTTTTTTTGGGGGGGGGGGGCGGGTTTCCGATTTCAAAACCCCCATTTCCGAGTTCTTTGGGCAACTGAGAAGGGGATAAAGCAAGCCTGGCCGCCATGAAGGTTTCCTTCGGGATGCGAAAAGAGTGCAAGAAGGGAACCACCTGCGCACTCACTTGGATTTGGCTGCGTATGACCCTGTACCGCACGTTTCTTTGTGAGTGCAGGTCACTGTTCATGGAAAAAGGGAGAATTCTCGCAAAGTTAAGCTCTTCCTTCTCTTGTTTTGGGGGGGTCCATTTAATGTGAAGAATGTTGCCCTGAACAGAATTCCCTCCTTAGGGGTTGAGAAACTGAGAACTTCGGGGCAAATTCGCATCGAATCCAGGCCCCCAAAAGGAGATCCATTTGCAACGGATGGGTCTCTCGTGTTTATGTTCGGACCGCCCAGAGGAGCACAGATTGCGTTGCCCAAGTTGTTTAGTGCCCTTTAAACCACTTGTGGTCTTCTGGGCTTCAGCCCCAACACACTGGGCAACTGGGTTGGTAGCCGCTTAGCCCCAACCCCTGACTCATGACTGTTTGATTGAGCATGGATCCTGATTCAAATATTCATGACGATTTGTGGGACTTCCAGACCCCCCCCCCGGCCTATTCAGCACTCAGATTTGCCGTGAGGCAGCCTTTTCAGTGACACGCTGATGTCGGGCTTCACCCGGCTGGATTTGCCGGTCTATTTGCTGTTCGCCTGTCGCCCGGCGAATCTCAGGTCTTCCAATGGGCGCGAAATAGCTGGTGTTGTTCAAAAACAACAAGCAGTTGGTTTCGAAATAGCCTGCTTTTGGTTGTGGCTGGTTCCAACAGAAGCCATTCTCCTTCTCCCGAGATCCCCTAAGCTCCAAATGAGAATTCCAGGCGTTCAGGCAGGTGCGCAGATACAAATTCAAGGCTGCAAGCACAGGGAACACGACCTCCAGTAGCCTTTTTCTGGGACTTGCCATGAACATAAACTCAGAACTCAGTTGCCCAAAGCAAATCGGCCGGAATTGACTTCTTGGATTTTCCTGTTTCGGCTCGTTTTTTGTGGAGGTTCCAAAAGGTGATCACCTTTCTGGGCCCCTAAGGGGCAACTGCGAGGAAGGTGCCCTTTGTTCTTCTTCGGACATCGGTTCACGGGATGCCCCGTGAGCATGGATGGTTTTTTTGGGGCACCCTGAGGGTCCCAAGAATTCGGGCGAGCTGGCCAGCTCCTCACTTGAGTTCCGGAACTCGGACATGAATCACTCAAAACGGCCATGGAGCGTTTTACTTGAATTCTGGCCCTGGCCCCTTTCGTTCGGGGACGATAATTTTTGGCCAGTCCAGGAAGTTCGAGATGTAGAGGTCACCCAACTCCCTGAGTTGGATCCGAATCCGAAAGGTTTCTTGGATCCGAAACGAAATAAATCCATTCGTTTTTACAAATGGCATCGTTCGAAAGCCGATCGGCTTTCGGCCATTTGGGGATAGGGGGACCAGTTATTCTCTACTTCACTGCTCCTTTCAGGTTGTTTCGTGATTTGTTCTGTTCATTTTTAGTAGGGGGCTGCAGAAAGACAAAGTTGTTTACTACCATACCAAGGGTTATGCAGCTCTGCAAGAATCAGAACCTTAACTCCGACTCCAAACCAACGAACTTCTGAAAGGACCCTGTGGGCCGAACATCGCTGAAGCCCTCCCAAGGCCTTCTTGGGGTCAGGATCGGGGTTCCTCAAAATCCAACTTGGCGCTTGGCCCCAGCCCCTCGCCGGAATTGGTTTCTCTCAATTGATCTGCCCCGAATTCTCCGATCGGCTTCGGCTTTCGATAAAAGACCCGACCCCATTGAGCATCCCGGAGGTGTTTCGGGGTCTCAAAGCCTGGCTGCTTGAGGGCCCTACATGAATCGAATTGGAGCCTCTGGGTCGCTTTGCCAACTTCCAGGGATCGACGAGAAGTAAAGCCCAGGGACCTGAAAAAAACTGTTTGCATTCAGCATCACTTGGAAGAGAAGAAAAAGGCCACCCACCAATGAGGCGGTGATTTCCAGGTCCGCGAGCATAGGTGCCCTTTTTACATCAGGTGGGTTGTGAATAGGCGGTGTTTAATGGGTTGAGCTTGAGTGATTTGTTCTTTCCCTTGAGAAGCCCAAGGCAGAAGCATTGCAGACTTCGCCACGGCCTTGTTGACGTGTGCCCTTTGGGTTTTCCTCATTTTCCCCCGCTCAACGGGCAACTAATGAAGGTCACCTTTTTGCAAACGGTCCAAGTCTAGGTGTGCTTGTTTTTCAGGGTAGCCTGTTTTGGATGGCAACAGGCCAACAGAAAGGTATTTTTTTTGGGGGGGAGAGGAAATCCAGTTCACATTTTGAGACTTCTCCCAAGGCTTGGATCAGCAGGGCCTCAACTTCCTGCCGGAAGCAGCGCTGCAGACCTTGGAGCAGCGCGGAGCCCAGAGAGAGTGCGGAACTCTTCGGTTAACTTGCCTTTTGGAGCCTCCAAAAGTGGCAAGCAGGTGGCAAAGGGAAACCATCAGTAAATTGATCAACATTTTTCTTGGGGAAATCCAGGGACCCCCTGGTTTTTCTAGGGGTTCAGTTGATCCAGGGTTCTGGTGGTTTTTCAGAAAGAAGGATCCCTGGAAGGAATGGGGAGGCTGCCGCCAGATACCTCTCGAGTTTTGGTTCTCTTCAGCTAACGTTCAGTTGGTGGTTTGGATTGGTTTGGATTTGGACCTCTGGTTCTTGAAGAGATTATCTCACTTGCCAAAGACTTGTGTTTCCCCTTGGTCCATTTTCTGTCATTGCCCCAAAAGGTTCACCTTGAAGAGGATACATGTTCACGGGTTCTATCGTATTTTGTGGGTCGTTGGTTTTGGTTTGGGTGAACGGGATGCCCTTCACTTTTCCCTTTGGTTTCTGTGCAGTTTTCATGGATTTCCTTTGGTTTCTGGTGTGGACAATGGTTCCCTACACGTTTTGAACATCACCGTTGGGGTGATGGGGACACAGAAAAAGAGGACCACTGCATGTTGTTTGGGTTCTAATGGCTCTCCTGCGGCAGGCACCTTTTTTCGAATGTCCCCTTGGCTTCGTGGAAGTTTCTTTCAACCCAACCCAACGGCTTCGCTTTTGGGCGGCGTTTAAGCCACCCGCTTTCGCAAACTGGCCCCGAAACCAAAGCGGGATGCGCAAGCCCAAACTGGTTCAACCGTGCATGAAGTTTTGTTCTGAAGTTACTCGACTCGACAGGCTCCCAGAGGAAGGGGGCTGCCTTTAGGCTTCCTTGTGGTTTCTGGTGCTTCCCAAATTCCCAAATCCTGCCCTCGACCTGGAAAAGAGGGCCAGTTAGCTCGCTTGCCTTATGGGTCGTTTGGGCAACTGACTTGTTCAGAACCAAGTTCGAGTTCCAGGATCATTGGCTGGGCTCTGATTCAACGAAATGGCCGTAGGCAAATGCATCCCCATCCATTTGCTTAAGAATATGATTGTTTTCCCCTCTTGGTTTTACAGGGGCTCAATTTCACTACTGGACATATGTTTTCCATGATTCTTCCAGGGCACGTATTCTCAAAAGCTGAATGTATAGGTCCATATATAATATGAATCTATGGCCATTTTGGACCCTTTGGGGGCAGATTTCGCATAATCAAGTCACAACTAACGGTTCATTACCCATAAACTGGAAGTTCATACCAGGGGTTCATTTTTGGACGTACACTTTGAAGAGTTTGAGCAGAGCGGTTTGATGGGGAGCCTCGTGTACATTTAATATGCGAAAATGGATGCAAGCACTCACTTCCTGAGTTCCGGAACTCGGACTTGAGTCGCTTTTTGAGCTTGGTTGCCATTTTGGGGGTTTGGTTGCCATTTTTGGTGGCAAACAAACAGCTGTTTGCTTTGGATTTCCGAGCCAGAGGTGGCCTTCTCCAGTGTCACGCCTGATCCCTGGGGCGCGGCTGCTGTGCGACCCTGCCACTTGGAGTCGTCTGGCGTGGCGCGTGGCGCGTGGCTTTTTCGCGGAGCGCACCTTGGGGTTCACCATTTTTGCGGAGAATTCGCAAACAACAACGGGGGGAAGACGAAAACATGGCTGTAAGGAGACTTTCGGGCAGGATTGGGTTAGTGGGTGTTGGAGACTTGATGGTGCGAATTCGGCAGGGCATGAGACATGGAAGGAAGTTGTGGGATTCCCTGATTATGCCCTGCTGAGCACCTTCCAGTTATGGCGAGTGGGTAACTGATCTTTAGACTTTAACCTTTGGGGGAAATCAAGCGTTGTCCGTATGGAACCCACAAGATGTTATTCACTTTTTGCAGGGGTCAACAGCAACCACCGCGCTGACCCTTGATTAGTTCGCCCCTAAGGGAAGCAGGCTGAAATCCACCTGAACATATGGTACCCTGGCAAAAAGACAACCTCCACGTTGGTTGGATTGGAGGGCTCACTTCCTGAGTTCCGTTTTTAGAGTTTGGTTGTGTTGTTAACCAGGGCCCCCAGCTAGGTGCCCTTCACTTTTTTGGGGGAGGGTTCCCCTACTAAAATAGACTACAGACAAAAACGGGTACCCGTATTCTCTCCTCTCTACTGGGAGACCTAGTTAACAACAAGTTTGGGCGCGTTGTTTGACCCATCCACCCAAAAGAAGTGAGTCAAGCGGGGTTCCCTTTTTAGTGGTGCATCCCTTCTTCCAGGTGGACTGGGACCACTGATTATGACTAAGGGGGGGAGGTTCTTAATCACGTTGCCAAATCCTTATAGTGCCTTATGTTATGGGGGGGGTTGTTGGCTATTAGCATGATCATTGTTTTGTGGTTGGTGAAAGAAAGCCTCAAGGAAACCGGCCTGATTTTGGTCCACCAATTTTGAGTCATGTTGGATCACTGCACTCAAAATCGCAAAGTGGGGAACCCCCAGTTGAGTGAGCTCCCCTCACCGGAGATTGCTGTAGAGCTGCGCGACATCGTGGCAGACCCATGTGCCGGAACCCCACTAAATGTGAGTTCAACCGGAGGGGTCTTCCATGAGCTTCCATTTACTTAAGACTATGAGTTATTTGCCCTGGTTGGTATTCAAAGGAATTTAATATTGTTATTTTTGGTCCAGGGGTCTTCACCAAATGGAAGCCACTAAGTGTGGGTTCAACCGGAGGGTCCACGCCTCGCGCCTGAGGCGAAGCGGGGAGTGGTGACCTACGGGGACTTCCGGCGCTTCAGCAGTTACTTGGATCAGCTCAGGCCCTTCCAGGCGAAACCTGGGGGTCTGGAGAGGATCCCACTTGCGGTCCGTGGGGATGTCCTTCTTCTTGAAAGGACAAAGGAACTTGCCAAGGAAACCACCTGGATGGTTTATAAGGGTCATTCCAATTCATTCCAATTCTGCCTATCGCACCCGCAAGATGGATCCGTTTCGGAAATGAAACCGGCCCTATATAAGCTGACGGGTACCGAGCCTCCAGCCTCGAGCCACGCCCAACGCCCTTTCCAGGCGGAGCGCGCGGAGCTCCGGGCGCAGCTGCGCGCGGCCCTGGCCGCGGAGCCGACGGCTGCGGCTTCGGCGGCGGCGCCGGCGGCGCCGGAAAGGCGGGGCCTGGATGGCCCGGCGGACCTGGCAGGTTTGGCGCGGATGATGCGCGTGAAGCTTCGCGGAAAAAGCGTTTTTTGCTTTGTTGTTTGTTTGTGTTGGGGGTGAGGGGGTTATGGTTTTGAGTTGGTACCCACTTTTGGCCGGTTTTTGTTGGAGACCAAGAGGACACCAACCCCCCCTATGTTCAGACAGCCCAATTGGGGGAGGAGTTTGATTGGGGTTTAACCATGATTTGGAGAGTTGTAGGGTCCTTGTTCTACTCTTCTTGTGCGGGTGGTGTTGTCTTTGTCTGTGTTTACTTTTTGGGCTTAGTGACAGTTTGAGAGTGGGGAACTGACTAGGTCCCCCAGCTAGGTGCCCTGTTTTGCTCATTTTTTTAGGGAGGGTTCCCCTACCAAAAAAAAGTACTCCTGTTTTTTAACGTCTCTACTGGAGGACCTAGAATCAGGCCAGTTTGGCCCCTTATGAATCGAGGACGCCCTCTGCCGGTGAGCTTCTGGCGGGCGCCTTCTTGGCCGGTCGCCAAACAGACGGCCACGGCGGGCTGCAGCCCAGCTACCGGGACTTCCTGGCGATGCTGCAGCGCGCCAAGGCCCTGCTGAGGCGGAGCCTTGGCGGGTTTTAACAGCTGGATGATTCGTGTCTCCGTTTCTGGAAATGGAACTGATTGGCTTGTTTTGTGTTTGTGTTTGGGTGGGGGAGGAGAGGGGGGAAGGGGTATTTTTTGGTTTTTAAAGGGACACCAAAAGGACACCAATTTGTTTGGGGGGGTTCCCCTAAAAAGAACACCCAAACGACACCTAAAAACAAAACCGAAAATGATCCCAAATGGGGGAGCCCCCTTGCGGCTTTTCTTTGAAACCAGCCCCCAGACAGCTACAAACTCTCGAAAGTCAATGGGGGGTGCCCTAGCCAGAGTCAGCATTTTCGTCTCCCAGTTGTTTGGCAGTTTTCTGGACTTGACCTTTGTTGGACAGAGTTGATCCCACCCCGCCTCCTCCCCTCTCCAATTAGGTTGAACCCCACCGCCCCCGCCCCCCCCACTTCTGTCAATCGACCAGGGATGAATTTGGACCCGAGCCGGGGGCCAGAGTTGTGTTCCAAATGGTTTGTTGAACACGCGGTGATAGTGGACTTCCCCAATATTGCAAGAGGAACAGGGAAAGTCTGTGACCCACCACGGTTTACAAGGGCTTCGTGCCCCAAAATTGCGGACAGCTCACTTGCTTCTATGAGCATCCCATGAAAATTCGCCATATGTCCTTTCCTCCCATGTTGCTCATAGAAGCGGACTGTGGCGAGTTCCTAGGTTTTGGGCTTGGGCGTTTTGTTTTTTCAGACAGACCTGCGGTGCGTGCCTTGTTTGTGGGGAGTGTATATCTGATGTTTGGCACTGGGCGCGCTTTCGGCTTAGAAGAGGTCGACTGTGTATGTGAGGGTATGATTCCTTAGGTGGATGTCCTCCTTTGAATCTTGTGGAAAAGATCCCCGGCCTTGGGATTCTTTTGCGTTGGCGGGGGTTGCTTGTTCCAAAGAAAGGGGTAAAAGGAAAAGCCATGGCTTGGAAAACCCATGGAGACCCGTAAGCTGGCCCGCGCGTTGGCCCCAAAAATGGCGGCGGTTGTCCTTTTGGTTTCCCAACAAGCCACGCCAGAACAGGCGCCCTTAGAGTTCGGCAAATTAACGTGGCTCTAAAGAAGAGAGCTTCTCCTTCCAGTCACACCCGGAGTTCGCCAGAAGCGTTTGCCTGGTTTTCAGAAGTGGGTCTGATTTTCGGAGCCTGGGCCATAGCTTTTGTTGTTTGAACGCTTGGGTTGGTGGGTGGGGGTTAGTGGGTGCCTGAGACTGCCTAACCAACCCAAAGGACCCCATCCTTTGAGCTGTTTCCCGAGGCACCGGGAGGACCTCCCGAAGCACTGCCTGGCAGCGTCGCTGGACTTGCAGCAGGTGACGCCTGGCGCTGGGACCTGTGTTGTTCCATTTGGGGGTAAGGATTTGGACCCCCTAACTTGTGGCTTTCCTGGCTTCCATGTTAAAGCCACCAAAAAAGCGGCACCCATGATTCGAAGGTCCGATCGGCTTAGTTGTGGCAACCAGAGGTTGCTCAAGCTCATGTTTTATGTTGCCCCGAAAGTCTCTTATTTTCTTAAGATGATTTATTAGTTCCCCTCTGGGTGTTACAAGGAGTTTCGATGTCACTGCAGGACATATGTGCTGTGTATTGATTGATTTTCTTGAAAACAAACATACACACGAAACACGTGTTCACTGGTCAGGTGTTCGGGAAGCCGGGTGACCCGAGGATCTACAAGCTGGCGCCTGGCGAGGGCAGAGACGTGGTGGTGGGCTGGGACGCGCTCCTTGCGGCTTTGGAGGCGGAGGGGCTCGACAGGTCCAAGATGGACGTGGAGGAAAGCCGGAGACCAACCAGTTGTCCCGTTCTTGCTTTTTGTTTTTTTGTATACAAATATATATATATATATATGTATATATTTTTTGTTGGAGGGGGTGGGAATTTGGCAGTTTCCTCTCATGCCCTTTGGAAGGTTGGGTTAAAGGGAAGCTAACACAGAAAACCGCATGTGCCTTCCTTGGTCCCTCGCCGGCATAGAATCTCGCAACGTAAGTCGGGCCAAAGCCAAACTGGGGAAACTTGCAAACTCTTTGGGTTTGTCTCAAAATAGGCTGACCCAACTGTGGTCCCATAGTCCAGAACAAGCCCTTTCAAAATGATCAAGCAGCCATGGTTGGATGGGCCCCCCCCAGGTTTGCGATCACTTCGGGCGCCACTTCCCAGCACTCCGACACAACTTCCGAGCCACTTCCAACTTGGAACCTCCAAAAGTGGGGCGATTTACACCGCCGGTTGGTTTGATCAACGGAGGAAATTTCCAGTCTGAGCCCCAAAGATCCATTGTTTGCCTTTTCCACTGTTTGTGGGATAGAACAAAAAACAGCTTTCCTGGTAGTGTAGAAACCCTTTTCGAGGGAGGCGGTTCATTTCAGGGGGAAAGGCAAACCGCCATAAGTGGGGCGATTTCCTGCAAACCGGCGGTTTCTGACAAAAATGATCATATGGATGTGGCTCAAAATTAAACCAGACAAATTACGCAGGCTTTGTTTCCACTTACCAGGGCATGCCATTTTGGAATTCCGGTTTTTTGAGCCACAGCCATATCAAGCTAAGGGGAAGTGTCCAGTCTTTTTGTCCCAGAGATCTGCTCCTGGGGCCCTTGGGGGGGGGGGGGCGGGTGCGGGGGCGCGGCTTTGGATGTCCGCCGAGCTTCAGGAGCTCGCGTGCGCGCTGGACCTTTCCGGGCGCCGCCAGGCGATTGGCGAATCGGGTTTCGAAGCATCGGGATTCGGCCGCCCGCCAATTGTGCCTCCAAGCGCAAGCGCGGGGGCGAGTGAACAATCACGTCGGGGTGTTCTGGGAGGACTCCTTTGGTGCTTTTGCCAAGGGATGTTAGGACTTTAACTTGTTGCCAACTACTGGGTTTTCCGTATTAAACGGCTAAAAGTTGAACTTTTTCCAGGGGAGCAGAAGGCAACCGAGACTCGGGGTTTAATTGATGCTTCTGTGATACTTTTGGGACTCTCGCCTTTGTATGGGGGTTAGTCTTTGCGAAGGGCCTTTTTGTAGCACAGAAGTATTTCCCACAGCCCTGTTCACTTTGCCCCGGATGAATAAACACCCTGGCTGAGTTTGATCGGGGATGTCGGGTACCGCCGGGACCGCTCAAGCCGTCCCGTGGAACCCTCACAATCGTTTGGTGATTGGGGGATGTCCCCTCTTAGTGTTTGAATCCCTCGCGTTGGCGCGATATGTAGGGAATGTGAAATGGAATGAACCCAGGCTTTGGTCCCTTGCAGGAAATCAGTTTCTTCCTTACTGGTGCTCAGTGACTGGCCCAGGATTTTGGGAATGAACCGTTATGGCTTCCCTCAAAGGAAACCACCAGTTTCGGAAGGGCCAAAGCCACCCCCTGTAAAATTAAAGTGGGGGTTGATTTTTTTGGGTCAACATTTTTGTTTAGTGCAATACAGAGCAAGAAATTGTTTTCGGAGTTCCTCAGATGACGGCCACGTTGTGTGTGTGTGCATGTGTGTGACTGTGTGCGTTTGGTGTTCAGCACCTTTTGTGCGGTCAGACTCAATTTCTCCTTCCCATGTGTTTGCTATTTTGCCTCATCTTGCCTCTGCTTTTGCGCGTGCTCAGCAGGGAATGACCCCTATGAACCATTTTGTATGGGTTCCTTTAAGGGAATCCCATTCTGCACCAAGATAGGCGTGGTTGCTTGGGCTTTGTATAGGGGCCCCAACTATTCCGGACCATTTTGCCTCATCTTGCCATCTTGCCTGTGCTTTTGGCACGCCCGTCCGCCTGCCACACGCGCGCCCCTCCGCGCGCAGGTCTCCGTGGCGGAGCTGCTGGAGCTCTCGAGCGCCTGCCGCCTGCGCCACGAGCCGCTGCTGCGGCACCTGGCGGGCGGCTCAAGCCGCGGCTTTCAGCAGCTCCTGCGCCTCGGGCCTCGGGTGGGAGGGTCCGAGCGGAGTTCAGCAAACGCCCGGTCCGACTGACGGTGGTGTTTATGGGTTTTCCCATCCGAGGTTCAACTGACGGTTTTCTTTTTAAGGAGGGGTAATTTTTTTTAAGGATTTGTTTTCGTTTTTTTGTTTTTTGTTTTTCCGCTTTTGGCTTCTTGGCTTCGTGGCTTTTTGGCTTCTTGGCTTCTTGGCTGCTTGGCTTCTTGGCTTCTTGGCTTTTTGGCTTCTCAGCTTCTGGGCTTTTCGGCTTCTTGGCTTTGGCCTTTCGTTCTTTTGTTTTTGGATGTGGCTTCCCGCATCATTAGCATCACCAGTTCCTCCCTGTTTGAATCATCACTTCTTCGAACATCATGGGGGAGAAGCCCCCCCCCGCAACCCACCCGCTACTGTTTAGATTGCTTGCAGAGTGGTTGCACCCGTACTTGAATCAACACTTCTTCAAACATCATGGGGGGGCAGCCCCCGCTACTTGTTGGATGTATCTTGCAGAGATTGAATTGCACCCCTGGTTCAATCAGCACTTTTCGATGCTGCAAAATAGGACATTTTAGGTATTATGTGTAATCCATGTATGTCTGTATGTATGTGCTTCTTCGAACACCATAGGGGAAACCACCCCCGCCAACCCTCCCGCTGTCTTTTAAATTCTATCGCACCCTTTCTTGAATCATTGCACACCTAATTGAATCATCACTTCTTCCGACATCATGGGGGGGGCTGCTGCCCACCCCAACCGCCCCCCCCCGCTACGTTTTAGATTTTCTACAGATATTTATTTAATTGCACCCCTAGTTGAATCATCAATTCTTTGAGCGTCATGGGGGGGGCGCTACTTTTTAGACTTTTTGCAGAGATTTAATTGCACCCCTATTCAAATCATCACTTCTGCAAACAACATCATGGGGGGGAGGGCTGCCGCACCCCCCCCACCCCCCCACTACTTTTTAGTGTTTTTTCTTCTTTTACAGGGATTGAAATGCCCTCCTATTTGAATCATTTGTTTGACCCCGTCAACTTTTTGGACGTTGGTCGGACATGCGGGGGATGTTGAAAACGATGCTGGGGATGTTGACGGGCTTGTGTAAAATGCGTCAATTTCACGAGAAAACCACATTTTACTGGCCCGGACGAAGAACGGAAAAAAGTCACACAAAAAAAACAAAAATATTCCCAAAATAAATCCGCACCCTTTTTTTCATGATGTAGTGGAGTTTAGTGGGAGTTTAGTGGGAGTTTGGTGGGAGTGTGGTTGGAGTTTAATGGGAGTTTAGTAGGAGTTTGGGGGTAGTTTGGTGGGAGTTTGGTGGGAGTTTGTGAGGTGGGTAACTCAGTTGCAACCCTCATGAGTCTAAAGAGTGAACTCGGGGACTCGTCATTGTTTTAAGGAGTTAACTGGGGGATGGGGTCTACCATGCAATCTGCCATGGGGTCTACCGGCGGGCTACTGGGGGTTTACGGACATAAACGGCGGTTCCCAGCGAATCGTCCGGTTCAACTTAGTTTTGTTTGCTGTTTTTAGTTGGTTTGGTGATTGGGTGTCCGTTTAACTGAAAGTTGACTCACTACCGATCGAGTTCCGGAACTCGGACTTTAGTCACTTTTTTGGTGTTGGATCGTTTTAGTGGTAGACAAACAGTTTCGATTTGTTTGGCGAATCAACTCAGGAACTCAGTTGCAAGCAAAGCGAATTGAAACGATCGCCACTTGCCGAGGCTCCAAAAAGGGAAATGGAAGAAACTGAGGAAAGCTTGTGGTTACGCACACGTGAACCACAAACACTTATTCTCAGTTACCCATAAGCCGACCTTTTGACCTTTTGGTTCCTCATTTGGGGTTCCCATTTTAGTCACGGGCCCAACAGGGTCAACCTTTTATTGCCAGGCCCTTTCGGCAACTGGGTGTTATGTTGGCCCCTGATTGATAAACCCCTATTTACTAATATGGGGGTGTCCCTGGTTTAGTGAACCATCACTTTTGGAAGGTGTTCCTTGGTGGGATGTCACCTTGAAACCGAGACAAGCCAACGGGAAAACCATTGGGCTGGTGGTTTTGTTGCAGTTGGTCCTGTTAATAATTTCTCAAGGTTGGTTCATAGGAAAGCCAAAAGGAAAACCACAACTTTGAGCAAGTAATGTGAGGATGGGAACGCAAGGCCCCACGTTTTGTGGCCAGTTGGCGCCCACCAGTCACTAGTAATTGGAAGACCTGTTCGAGGCAAGGCCAACATGCACCTGGGCTGCGGGCAAGACCAGGTTGTCCCTCATGGACCGTTGTGACCAGGTGTGGGTGGGATTCCCATGAAATCTCATTGTCATGGGGGGAGGTCTTATTGAGCGCTGAAGGCCTTGTTTGCCCCCCCCCCCCCCCCAGCCCCTGTCATTGTCTTTTAAAGCGATCCAGGTTGTGGAAAAACAGGAAACTTCCAAAGCGAGTTGGGTCAAAGTACTTTTGATCGTGCCTCACATGTCAATTGCCAACTCCACCAGCCACAAGCCACTTCACTGCTCTTGGATCAAGTGTTGCGTGTTTCGGTTTTGCTGGTTCTGTTTAATTTTAGTGGTCCGGGGGCTGCACAAAACAAACTCAGCTTTTTGTGCAAGCCCATACCAAGGGTTCTGAAGGAAATGCTGTTGCAGTGCGCCGAGGTCTAGCCAAGTTTCTGTAGTTGTAGCGAGTGGGAGAAAAGAGTCCGCCCATGATGAAGGCACCTTACATGAGGCTTGTCTTTCACATGGGTGAATTATAGAACAGTTGTTGCGTCTTTGCACCACTTGTGTCTCTTTCAAAGGGTGCCTTTGCCCCAACCCTGGTGAAATGGTAAACTCCCGTGGCCCCTTTTCCAGGCTGTTCAGCACGTTCAACGCACAAGCTCAAAAAGCATGTACGGCCAATGGCATGCTTGAGCCAAGGCACGTGCAGAAGGCCGCGATGTACCCCGGTTGATGGTGAGGCACGAGTGACGTGTTTGGCTGGATCCCCTCACGGACGGGAAATCGCGGAGGAGCCCTGTGAGGTTCCAGAGGCCGCAAGGACCACCGGAGGCCACGGGAGGCCTTGGACAAGGAGACGGACATCTCGCGGAGTCGCTGCTCCGTTGTCGGCGTGTCGGCGTGTCGGCCCATCGCCGGCAAGGTGGGTTGAGATGCGGGCGACAGGTGGACACAGATTTGCCGCGGGGCGCAAGGGCGAAAGGTTTGGGAAAAGGGAGTGAGGAGAAGCGGCGGGTACTTACGCTGTGGAAGCGCGAAGGGTTTGGGCTGAGAAACGCGCGAAGGGTGTGGGACTCCGCAGGCCGGGCCATACGCCAACAGTCGGTGAGAGCACATTGCTTGCTTCAGCGCCTTACCTGTTCCTCCAGGCGTTTTTCTTTTGCTCAGGCGGCAGGGGCAGGCAGCAGCGGCATGATCATAACGCCCAACTTTGGCAAGTCTTGTTCTGAAATTGGTTCGGAGTGAATAGAAGGAAGACACATCTTCACTGCCATTGGGCAACGGATCTTTAGACTTCAACTTTTTGGTTGAAATCAAGTTGGGTGTTCCACTAATCCCCCCAAAAGTGATTCACTTTTTGCCGGGGGTCGTCGCAGCAACCACGACATTCTACAGCAAGGCGTCAGTCGATGCGACACCGCGCTTAGCCATGGAGGCGCAATGAGGCTGGCGCCAGAGCGGTTGCCCGGGCCTTAAATCTGTCCCCATTCTCACCTGGGCCCCAAATCGCTAGAAAACGGTTTGGATGTGCTTGGATTACCTGTTCTTCCCCCTGTTAGTCCTTTTTTAGTACTCTTTTAACGTGGATCCAAAAAAAACGCATCCGGACAGTTTCCTACCCAAAGGCTCCAATTCGATGTATTTAGGGCCCTCAAACAGCCAGGTTGTGAGACCCCCAAACATCGACTAGGGGTGTTTAGTGACGAGGTCGGCTCTTCCATTGCAAGCCGAAGCCAGGAGCCTCTGGGTGTTTCCAAAGACGAAGATCACGCACGCATGAACCACAAAACGTATTCTCAGTTGCCCGAAGCCCACCTTTCGACCTTTTGGTTTTCCAGGTTTGGTCCATAGGTTCCCCAAGGTCAACCTCGAAGCACTGAGTCGTTGACATATGTCTGCCTTGTCAAATTCACGTGGAGCTACGTGATTTAGGGCTAGCTGCCCCAAGCGCAGCCGCGAGTTGACCACCAGAGAAAAGGTTCAGAGGCGAAGCCTAAGCTGACTGCCTTGGACAAGGTCTCGGTTGGCAGCTGGGAATGGCGCGGCTATGGCCCAAGACTTGAGAACGTCGACGCCAAAAAACGACGATCCTGGTCCGAGTTTCTTATGGGGCTGGCCCTCCAAAAGTTGTGTGATTCCAACACATCCAGTTGGACCCCACCCCGGAAGAATAAACGTATTTAATATACTGGTTGGTTGATGAATGGGTCAAAATTGGGAAGATCACAGCTGCTTGGGGCAGTGGTCCCCCAGCCCCCAGTCCCCTTTGGACCGAAGCTTCCATTGGAAGCTCACCAGTCTCTCTTTTGACCTTTTGGTTTCCTCTTTTTGGGTTCCCATTTTTAGTGGCCCCAAAAGGTCGCCGTTGATTTCCAGGTCCCCAAGGGGCACGTGAGCAGTGAATCGGTCAACTCGTGGCCAGGCCCTGCCATTTGGAGACGGCATGCACGTCAAAGAGGCACGCCCCGTGCGGCCGCTTAGCCTTGGGAGGTTGGGTTGACGCTTGGTCCTCTGTTTTTGGGAGGCTGGTAGGAACGGAGTGGTTCCTTCCGTTTCTGTAGGGTAGGAAACCTGAGCCAAAATCAAAACCCGGGTAGATGAAGGTTAGTAAGGGACGATGCCAACCATAAATAGCTGCGGCCGCCTTCTTAATCCTGTACATGGTTCTGGGTAGACCATTTTAGTACCAGGTTTTGATTGCGACTCACCTTGCGATGAATTTGAAGTGGGCCCTTCTGCTTTTGGCCGTGGACAGCGTGTGCTCAGGCGAGCAACTTCAGTCGCGGATGAAGCAAAATTTGCTCAGGCAAGGTGCCCCTTAAGCAGACCAGAGTTCACTTGCAACTGCTTTAGAATCTGTTGTATTTCCGCTGCTGGTTTAGAAAATATGTCACTGGACATATTTTCTTGTTTTTGTCCAGGGGTTGGTTCAAGTGGAAGCTCAACAATAGTGAGGGGGAAAACAAACAAAAAAACGGTGGCCACTGGTTAAAAAGGCCGGGATTCCGCCGCAGCCCAGCGCTTCGCACAGTTTGGCCCAAGCTCTCGGCTCTTGTCTAGCGGCATGTTGCAGAGCCGAGTGCCCACTGCCTGGCTCCGCTGTTCGGTTCCCTTCAAGAGCGCCCAAGTGCGGACATCGTTCCATTGCCGGATCTGGTTCTTATCCTCTTTTTTTGGCTTTGTGTTTTTGGGGTGTCCCTCTCTTTCCCGATTCAGCCAGCAAAAAAAATGGAGAAGAACAAAGCACCAGTCGTTTTTTTGGTGTTTCACGTGGGGCCACACCTCGCTCAGGTTCGACAGCGGCCCCTTGCGGACATCGCATCGCACTTGGTCCGCCCTGATCTGCGCTGCGGGGACCCGCTTCTGCGCGCATCTGGCGCGGCTCCGCCCCGCGGCCGCGGCGCCGAGCTCGCGGCATGTGACCGTGGCCGCAGAGGCCACGGAGGCCGCCCCACCGTATGCCGCCTGGACTGAGAATGGGGCGCCAGCGCTAAGCACCTCCGGCCAGGCGTGCTTGTTGGCAAGCAAGTCGGCTTTTAAAAGATGCGGTGGCTTTCAATGTCTCACTTCCTGAGTTCCGGAACTCGGACTTTACTCACTTTGTGGGGTTGGACCATGTTAGTGGTAAACAAAATGTTTGGCCCAATCCTCTCAGGAATTGAGATGTTTGATCTACCGTACTCGCGGCCTCCAAAAGGTGATCGTTTGTTTTTTTCAGTTCCTTTCGGGTGCGATGCTGCTTTCCATTTGCTTACGAACCTTAGAGGTAATCCTCCGATTCCGATCCGTCTTTTGGCAGGTCGGCCTCAAAATAGACCCTTTGTGTGTGTGTGTGTGTGTTCAATTGTTCCCTATTTGTAAAGCGGGAAAGGTCATGTTTTACGTTTTGGTATCAAAGAACTAAAATACACACATTATAGAAAGGTATACGGTATATATATATATACTTATATTTAATTCGGGGTGGAAGCATTGCTAGGGGAAAAGGTTGATCTTTCGAGAATTTAGGCGTGGACTTTCTGTTCCTGGCAGTGCCGGGCATTTCGAGCGCCAAGCTGTACTCCTTGCTGCGCGCCGCCTGGAACGAAGACCCGCTCTCTGCCACCAAGCTGGTCTTCCAGCTGGGCGATCCCAGGCGGGCAGCAAAGCAACCTGGTACGATAGGCAGGAGGGAACCCGGATTCGACAGGAAAGGAGGGAACGACCCCTGTTAAGCACTCCTCTATGGTTTGCTTTGAAGGAAACCCCTTCCGGTTCATTCACGAAACATCTGGGTCATACCCTACTGAGAAGCAGCAAGCAAAACAACAATACCCTGGGACCAATCTGAAGCTTATGTTTCAGGGTAGGCTAAGGTTGAAAAGACTCAGAAAGAGCATTTGTTTGTGTGGCCCTTCTTTGCCAGGCGGCCTTTTTTTGTCCCTGCCAGGAGGGGGAAGTCAGATCCTTGACTGCTATTGGGCAACGACTTTAACTTTTTGGTTGAAATCAATTTGGGCTTTCCGTACTAAACCCACAAAAAGTGAAACTCACTCTTTGCAGAGGGCTGGTTACAGCAACCGCGATTACATTGCAGCAACCATTTGCCATAGGTGCATTTCAATGCCAAATGTTGGTTTTTCTTCATATCTAAACATAACTCTTTCCTGGTTACCTACACAAGCATCCATTTGCAAAAATGTTTGGTTTTAAAAGGTCTGTCCCTGGACATATGTTGTTTTCTTCAAATACTCAGTTGCCCAAAGCGAATCGACCTTTTGACCTTTTGGTTTCTCCTTTTTGGTCTAGTCATGGAGTCATGGCCCCAAAAGGTTATATAACCTTTTAGTTCTGGGCCCCGTTTGGGGCAAGTGAGACTTCAAGGATCGTGACAACCATCAGCTTTGTTTGCTCTGGCTCTGGCGTCACTTTCCCGGCACCGTGCTGATGAACATCCAGTCCGGCGCCCTTACGCACCACACCTGTGCCAAAGGATTGCTGGACCTGCTGACGCTTTCTTGACGCCATGTTTGTTTGACTTGACTATTGGGGGTCTGGGATCTTTCGACTTTATAACTTTTTGGTTGAAAACGTACGAAACCCATAAAAAGTGAAAGTCACTCTTTGTAGAGGCCTCGGCAGAATCCAGGATTCGTCGCTTGCCTTTTGCATCAGCTCCTCGCGAATGGTCGTTGCCGCAAGGCCTTCCAGATGTCACCGGGGGTTCCTTCTACGTTTTGGGTCACTGAGGATGTACGCGGCATGGGATGACGCGAAGTTTGTGGAGACTGACTTGGAGGCCTTTCCGCTAAGAGGACTGGCAATCTTGAACCAGATGGACATGGATCCCAAAACTAGGGTTGGTTGGTCGGTCCGTCGGTCGGTCGGTCGGTCGGTTGGTTGGTTGGTTGGTTGCTTGCTTGCCTTGCCCAACGTTTTTCTTAACCACAAGCCGCATTTTGGAGACAACCCATTGTTTTAGGGGTCCTCTTGCGCCGGGCAGGAACCTATGCCGCTCAGCAACGACGAAAAGGAGGAAGGTTTAGCCATGGCGATTGGGTTCTGCGAATGGCCAAGATGCTCGGCTGGAATATGATCGGCTCTGGGTCAGCACCAATAGAACCCTTCTTTGCGGACAACCGAAAACACGAGGAAGGTTCATGTTTGATGGGTGGTTGTTCTACACCTCGCCAAGGGTTGAAAAGCAGGGTTAGGCTTACTTGCCCAAAGCCGACCTTTTCACCTGTTGGTTTCCTGTGGTCATTTTTTTAGCCGTTTGGTTCCGCAAACAAAATGGCTTCCAACCCACACTGTCGGAAGTGGCTTCATGGTTTGGCTTGTTTGGCCTCTGTTGATTGGGCACTTTCTTGCGGGCGGGTCAATGTTAATGTTGGACCCTTTTTAACCACCCCCCCAGGAGTGGAACCAGTCAGATGGGCCCTCTTTTAAGAAAATCCTGGGGGTCTGGGAGAGACAGTACTTTAGTATTGCCAACTCTACTTTAGTATTGCCAAGGCTGACTAAGATTCCCAGTGCTTGCTTTAGTATTTCCAATGCTAGTATTGCCAAGGCCTTTTTTTCAGCCACCGCCAACACGGTTGGACACCAAAGAGGACACCAAAACAGTCAAATGAAAGAGGCTCAGGGCCTCTTGTGCGCAACTCCCTTTGTGAGAAAGCTCGCCCTTACTTTTTCTCTGAAGAAGTTATCTTGAATTTGATCGCTTGGGGGCCACTGGCACGGACTTCCTAGATCGAAGGCCTTTAGCCTTTGAGCTGTGCTTGGTTAGGTGAACCACCCTTGTTAGTTCAAAAGGCTAGGGCTTTAGTTTGAGAATTTCAACCCCTCAAAGTAGTTGGACACTAATGAGGACCCCAAGACAGGCACAATAAAGAGGATCAGGGCCTCTTGTGGGCAACCCCTTTGCGCGAATGTTTTCCTGTGTTGTAAAGAAGTTGTCTTAAAATTGGTGGCTTGGAGACGACTTCAAAAAACAAATTCCTATAATGGATTTTTGGCCCGTCGTTGCTTGCCCGGATTTATTCCTGGCATTTTGCCCGGCAAAAAGATGCCACAATCGAGGACCCCAACACAGTCACAAGATCCTGAATAGCGAAAACAAAATGCCACAATAGATACTTTTCCAATTGGGGGTTTAACAATACCGCTTGCTGTAAGTTCACTTAGTTGGACCTGTCTTTTTGATTTGGGGACCCCCTTTCGGTTGTGTTTTTTGTCCCCCATTAAAACCCAACCAAAAGAGGGCCTCCTAGAAAAGGTCATGTGCAAAGACGTATCGCTCAAACAATTCACTAAATGCTTTGGATGCCGATGGGGCACAACGGTGCCCGTCCAATGAACAATCAAAGGCGCCGGCAGCAGTATGATACACATCGCAGACTCCGAGTGAAAGTATTCTGTGAGAAGCTGGCTGCTGATGGCCCGGGGTGGCATGGCTGAATGGATGCGACTTTTCCAGCATGTTTTCCCTTTCATTGCTGGTATTTTTGACCGAATTGCCCCTTAGACCTTTTGGAACAAATGGCTTTTCCAGTGAACCTGCAAAAGGTCATCAACCTTTTGCTCGTTCGGGGGGCTTGGGGCTGCCCAGTTTGTGGGGTTGGCCAGAGCTGAAGGACAATTGGCTTTGATTCTCAGGACATGCGCTTCTGGGTGCCCACGGGGGTCTTCCAAAGTCTGTTGCACCTGTTTTAAGGAACCACCCCCCCACTGGCTTTTCAGGGATTTCTGGGCGCATTTGTTTGTCCGACCAAAACCCACTATCGCAGTCTTGTTTTGGACACTTGACTTGAAGGCACACAGGATCCCCCACGCGCGCACGCACGCCTGCGCCGCACGAGTGTATATTGAATGTATATTGCGCGCGCGTAGTTTTTTTTGTGGTTTTCATTTTAAGTCAATTTGCGTATTGATTGTGTTTTTAATCAATTTCCACACAACCCCCCGGCACGGTGAGTT